CGTTTCGAGTGCAAACACCTGACACCATGATATGAGGTCCTCAAATATTTTTATCAGAGATCTCAACCGGCAATTCTAAATCGTTCCACTATAAGTATAGTCATTCGGGTTGGTTTCAGACGCTATTATTACGTAAAAGGAAGGCTACATTTGCTACATTTGATACATTTGCAAAACAGAATCTTTCTTTAAAATTTCAGAACACAACTCCATCAGTAACCTGTTCATTTGGCTCATTCATTTTTTGCCAAGATTGGGTACTGATTGGATTTATCAGAGAGCTTATTGCGCTAAAATATCAGGAGCTGCATGACGATTACGTTATTAACGCTGTCAAACAAATTAAGTAATGTTTATAATCTCTAGCTTTAAAGAGTTCTCACAAAACGAATTAAAGAGAACTAAATCATTGTCCGGTTAAACAGATTTTAACTAGCCGCCTTGAACAAAATCGACTTTTCAGTTGTTTCTAATAGAAGGGAGTAATATCTATCAGCTGCTTTTGATCCCATTGAAAAATATTGTTTGTAGCCGAATTTATCGCTGGTCAAAGGTCAACGCTTATGAGTAATTGTACTGCGCGAGCGATTTTCAATCGCGCGTACTGAAAATCGAGTCTTAAAATCTAAAAATCGTAAAAAGGAGGTCCAAGATTTTCAAAATCAATTGAAAAATGTTTAAAGGCCTATCTCAAAATTTTGAGATGATAGCCCTCTTTTAAATGATCCCTAGAACATATCCTGATAGTTTCAGGGCGATTGCTCAAAACTGTAGAAGAAGATAGATTTTTAGACTCGATTTTCAGTACACGCGATTGAAAATCAATTACAATTACTCATAAGCGCTGACCTTTGACCAGTGACTAATTCGGCTAGGAACAATACTTTTCAATGGGATTAAAAGCAGCTAATAGATATTACTCCTTCTATAATTAGAAACCAACTAAAAAGTTGATTTTGATAAAAATTTCCATGAAGACCCCCCAGTGCAATCTCGCAAAGCTGCAATATTATAATGATTATTTAACCAAATAGAGGTATATTAGTCACGCAAAATTTCACTGGCGTGCAGGGGGGGTCTTCATGGAAATTTTTATCAAAATCGACTTTTCAGTTGTTTCTAATAGAAGGGAGTAATATCTATCAGCTGCTTTTGATCCCATTGAAAAATATTGTTTGTAGCCGAATTTATCGCTGGTCAAAGGTCAACGCTTATGAGTAATTGTACTGCGCGAGCGATTTTCAATCGCGCGTACTGAAAATCGAGTCTTAAAATCTAAAAATCGTAAAAAAGGAGGTCCAAGATTTTCAAAATCAATTGAAAAATGTTTAAAGGCCTATCTCAAAATTTTGAGATGATAGCCCTCTTTTAAATGATCCCTAGAACATATCCTGATAGTTTCAGGGCGATTGCTCAAAAACTGTAGAAGAAGATAGATTTTTAGACTCGATTTTCAGTACACGCGATTGAAAATCAATTACAATTACTCATAAGCGCTGACCTTTGACCAGTGACTAATTCGGCTAGGAACAATACTTTTCAATGGGATTAAAAGCAGCTAATAGATATTACTCCTTCTATAATTAGAAACAACTAAAAAGTTGATTTTGATAAAAATTTCCATGAAGACCCCCCTGTCCCCTTAAATCAGCCAGTTTAAAGGAACGTTTTATAAACGCAAACCTCAGTTAATGCGTTTATATAAATTATATTAAAGTTAGGATGTCCACTAAGATGTCTGCTAAAATAATGACTGATCAGATCAGGTGAGGTGCAATATTTATCGTTCATTTAGATTTCATGACGGCAATATTTCGTTGTATTTATGTCGGGCTCGGTCAATCATAACTATTAAATTCCACTAAACTTTGTTTGAGAAAACAAAGTTTATCTAGCGCTAGATTATATCTTTTTACACTGTACTCACATTTTCATCATAGAAGATTTCTTGAATTTCCCCCAGACAAGGAAGATAGCACACATGATGACATCCTGTATCTCCACAAATCCACGCTTGAAGTCTTTTTCTGCTGCCAAATACATTATTTCTGGGATCTGGGCGAGCAATATGAAAATTTAAATATGTTTTTGATTACATATTAGTAATATTTATTTAAATTACATATTAGTTTCTGTATAATGTTTGAAATTAAACTCGAGCGACCGTTTTGTAATGGTTTTAGAAAAGCAGTCAGTGGCCGCCCATTGAATAAGTTATAAAGCTGTTTCCAAGTAAGAAGCCACAGTGGAGCAGCTCAAATCAAGTAACTTGATTTGAGAAGTCTCCACTCTCCATCTCAATACATATCTTGCAAACATCAACAGAGAGAGTAAATCTGTAAATCTAATGTGCAACTGTTTGTGTACGCGCTTATTTCCAATCAATGAAAACTGTTTTAATAAGTCCTGCATGACATACACTTGACAGACAAGAACTCAAATCATTGTCATCTCGCAAGCTGACTCGTGCCCGTAAATCGTGCAAAAATCCGTCTCAGTAAAAAGCTTTGAAACAGGGCAGTTTAAGACAATGATGTCGCGTTATGACCCTTCTCGTAATTATAAACAATTGTGTCTGGAGTATTTCGGTGAACTATCAATTTTGAAAGATTTAAGGGCACAGGAAACTATCAATTGAGTACTTTGCTGTATTGTAATAATGCTATGTCCATACAAAATCATAAGAACTACAACTCGAAAAAGTAAGTCACGTCCAAATAATACAGTCCAACAACAACAGCTCAAGTTGGCACCTTTATTTGACACCAACGGTCACCCAAGTACCCAGGTTACTAATGAGCACAAGTAATTGTAGCTGTAACAGAGAGCAAATAGCAGCCCTCCAAACAACTCACGTGACCCCAAATATAAGATCAAATGACCCACATATCATGTCACGCCTGTCACGTGACTTGGACCGATATATGGCACCATTATCTTTCTCAATTTCTCAGTATTTATCTTACCGTATCTGTACTTATCGGAGGCATTTACAGTACCTTAAATACCAGAGCAGATGGCTGCAAAGTGTAATGAAATGAGTTGGCTCAGCCCTTAAAATGCTATCAGAATCATCAGTCATCCGACCACGTGTTTCATCATCTTGATAGTACATAATACTCTACATTTAACATGAAATTATGAGCATTCCAGTCAGGTATCATGATTCATGATAATGGTTGTAAACTTGACTGATACATATATGCGGTTTAACAACAGCTTTATTTAGGTCACAAGAAGATAATATGAGACAGTCTCCAAACTTCAATCATTTATATATAATACGATCATGAACGGTCTCCAGAAACGCCTGTATTCTTCGAGTGTGCTGATTAATAAATGCCCGCTATTATTTATTATATTCAAAGTTCAGACATTTCTGTTGTTGTTTTCTGTTATTGCGTCAATGCAGATTGCAGAGGCAAACAAAAATAACCGATGGTTTACGCTTGAAATTAATATAATCCACGTAAAATATAGCAAGCACCATGGCAACAATGGCAATCGGGTTTGGCTCATATATATCGGTTTACTGACATTTCTCGCATATATATTCGATGCAATCTGAATATGAAATCTTGTTTTAGTCCTATAGAAAGTCTAAAACTACCAACACGAAGTTTATTTAACAGTTTAACTCTCACAACCTAGCTAATGTGAGCTAAAAACGGAAAATCTGTCTTTCTTGTTTGACGTTTTGAAAATTTGAATAATGATCTTGAAAACTATTTGAATATATTGTGAGTTTCAGTAACATTAACAAATTCTTGGTAAGTCTTTCTCGTTTTGCAAATTTGAATAATGATCTTGGTAAGTAATGGTCTTATTTCATTCGAATCATAACGCAGGGTGTCTCTTGGCTATAATATATAGGTGTACTAAAACATTCCAACTTTGAACTATCATATCAAGCTCAATTAGTCTATTTTTAATTGGTCCTTAGCAAAAAAAACTCCCTTTATTAATGCATGGTCTCCACGAACTAACTATATTATATAATCTGCGACTTTTACTGAAACTCACAATATATATAATATTGTTTGCCCCAAGTGTGCACCAAGTAACTTTTTGTCCCAAGTGTGCCCCAAGTGTGCCCCAGGAAATACAATTTTGTGCCCCAAGTGTGCCTAGCTAGATTACCAAATTGCCGAACTGTAATATAAATGCTGTGTAAGTATGGTGGGTAAGTATTATACAGAGTTCAATTAAGAGGTGTCACGACTTCCATCTCCTGAGACGTTATTACCGGGTGCATTTTTGTGTACTTCAGCTGTTAGGCAATTCGGTAATCTGTCGATGGACACACAACGCACGGTTACTAAAGTAAAACATAATAATATGTCTTCTTACGTTTGAAAATCGTTTTTCATTCACGAAGATATTGTAGTCGTTTAATTTTATATCATTTTGATTTAAAATTCAATTTTAGATCCTATGTCAAAACCTGTTGAGATACGCAGTTTTAACGAGATGATTATATTAACAGTTTTTAATTTTAATTATTATTTGTTCACTCGCGGTAAAATGCTGCGGTTCTGAAAGACTGTTGTGTGTTAACCTTATCAATTCTTGTCGAACGTGACCTGTTTTAATCCTACGGAATCATCAAAAATCTAATCTTAAAATTATTTGAACACTATTTGCGGTACCTAACAAAGTTTACGATGACTAATATTTGCTATATTAGTATTTGCCATACCTACTAGAAAGTAACAGCTCGATAATATTTGCTATTTTAGTATTTGCTATACCTACCATAGTAACAGCTCGTTAATATTTGCTATTTTAGTAGTTGCTATATACCTACCATAGTATAAGCGCGTCATCATTGTACTAACTAAGGTGTGGTCCAGCAAGCTGTGCAGACTACTTGTTATATTGTCAGTGCTGTTATACAGTGAGACAATCTGCATTGTGGCGGCTGTTTTTATCGACAACTTGTCTACATTGATATGTGCAGTGTACAGTGTGCATGTGCAGCGAAAGAAAACAATCACTTTCTACTAAATTCTACTTATAAAACGTAAATAAAAATTCTACTTATTAAACTTTACAAAGCTAATTTGAATTACATACGAAGGATTCTAGCAAATAAATCAACAAATTTTGAAAAACATCGACAAATATTCGTCATTCAAAAAGACAAAAATGGTTCAGCAAATCGTATCGCGCATAGTATCTTCACAAATACTTCGCTTTTTTGACTCTCCAATTTTGTCCGTCCCCCATTAAAAGAATAACCTTATCATGAAACTGATCCAAACCCTCATCATGACTCACTGAAAGATAACAAACCCCCATAGTCCTCAGCAAATCATACATAACCTCAGCTAGATCCCCACTAACCGCACTGGTTGCCTCGTCCATTATCACTACCCTGGGCTTGTGGTAAAGTACCCGGGAGAAAGCAAGAAGTTGCTGCTGGCCAGGTGACAGGAGCTTGTGCCAGCTTCTTCTGGGTGTTTTATATAGGGGTGAGGAGGAGTGGAGGAGGGAGGGGGTGGTGAACAGTCTCCTGAGGAAACTAGTTGGTTGAGATGCTATCATGGGGGTGGTTTCTGCATCTTCATGATTTATACCATTCTCTTCGCTGCCATCTTCATCAACTGTTCTATTGAAGAAACCATCTGTCTCATTGATATCCTCATTCCACTGAGTATCATCCAGTATTTCCGTTAACTTCAAAGTCTCCAAAATCCCCAATAATTCTGGATCCTCCCCATGTTTGGGAGGATCAGGGAGAGTGATCTGAGCTGCTAGACACTGTCTGGTAAAGTAGGGTCGTTGTGGTAAGAACATGATGTCACCTGTGGACTGGATAGACCCCACCAGAGGTTCCCACAGTTGCTTGATGGTACGGAGCACGGAGCTTTTGCCCGCTGCTGGGGGACCGTGTATCAGGACGTTAGTGTGGTGGTTCAGGGAGATTGAGAGGTTTTTAACCAGGGATTTGTTAGTTATAGGGTTTAGAATTGTGATGTTCTTCAAAGTGAGGAAATCTGGAATGATTGAAGAGGTTTCTCGTTCTATTTCTTCGCCCCGTACTGAAGAAATCAGTTGTTCACTGTCCTCATCTCTGCCACGATCCTTACCGGTGTCTAGACCTTTTTCTAAGTTATCGTCTGTTGGGGACTGGTTCCAATACTGAGAATCAGCTTTGTGGTCCCTCATGAACTCAATCAGCTCACCTACTCGGTGGATGTAACCCGCTAAATCTGCTAGCTTGCCAGACATGTCCACCTGAAAAGTTGTGGATTTGGGGTTTATGTTAAAGAGAAAGTCTGGATTGCGTTTAAATACTTCCTTGATAAGTGAGCTTGGCGGATTAGTTAAACAGCTTTATAAATTGTAACTGGGCGGAAGTTTTCAAACACAGTCAATGATATTGGTATTAAATTATATACATTTATATTACTGAAAAAGATGTTATAAGGTTTAAAGGTTGTGCCTATTTATTGACGATACATTTTTGAGGAAGCAAACAGTAATTTAAATTTTAAGGACTTTGGTTTAAAGGATTATTTTATTAAATTTAATAATTAAATGGGCATACTTTAGCTTTATACGGACGCGGAAATATGTCATAAAATGGCACTTGCCAGGCATCTATGGTTATTATATTGGTTACCGATTACTGGTTATTGGTCAAGTATTTGAGAGCTTTCTGAGTTTCACAGTCGCATGATTAGGATCTTGGAATATGATTTTTCTGAATAAATTCAGTAAAATGGTGTTTTAAACTACCATGTAAATTTCTTGATTTTGTATTCTAGTTAGATTGATTAAAATATTGAAGTCTGGGAATGCTGTGAGCCTACAGAATGGCAGTTTTATGGTTACATGCTTTACTCGTAATGGTGATCAAGGTCATGTAATCATTCTCCAATCATATGCTAATTGCTAATGGAAGACATTAAGGGGGCAGGGGGGTCAAAAAACGAGGTCCAAGATTTTCAAAATCGAATAAACAAATTTCTAAGGCCTATCTTAAAATAGACCAGAATCTTCTAAATAGTCCTTAGAACATATCCTGAAAGTTTCAAGGTGATTGCTCAAAAAATGTAGGAGAAGATAGATTTTTAGACTCGATTTTCAGGGCGCGCGATTGAAAATCGCTTGCACAAAATCGCTTGCACAATACATTAAATTACAATTACACATGAAAGCTGACCTTTGACCGGCGATAATTTCGGCTAGGAACAATATTTTTCCATGGGACCAAAAGCAACTGATAGATATCACTCCCCTCTCTCAGAAACAACTATAAAATCAATTTCGAGAGGAATTTCATAAAGACCCCCCTTGCCCCCTTAAACAGGTTTCGAGGTTGAAAGTTCTAGTTATGTAATCACGAACTTGCTACATTCCGGCTGAATTCCAATCCGAGTTATTTGCCTTGTTGAATGACCTAAAGGGTAGTGAAATCAAGATCAGATAGTCACGCTGCACGCATTATTGATCATACAGGTTCAGATATACCTATGACTTTATGATATTATGCCATTCAAATCAACCGTTCGATATCAACCGTTTTCACATAAATGAGTCTGTTAGCTAGTGAAAAGGCTGTCAGTGTCACATCGTGTGACCTGACCACCCGGAGAGCCATCACATCATGTGAACAGCCAAGAGAGTAGACGCTTCTCAATTTGATTGTAGTCAACTCTAATAAGAAGCATATCTTGAGCAGAATTCTCTGCTTGAACTAGAAACTGTGGTGTAGCCCGCAAAGAATTAGTTGCAGTTAAGATTGATTGCTTAGCCTTATCGGTGAGAATATTAAGTAGAATAGGACCTAATACAGTCTGTCTAGACTGACTCAGAGCCCTATGTGCTTTAATTTAATTTTAATATGCTCTTTTTGATGCGAATAGTAAGCAAAGAATCTAACAGCCGCAGCTGACTGCTGCGATTCATTGCTCGGTCAATTCAAGAAGTAGAATAAGACCTAATAAAGGTAGTCTAGTGATCATTCGGGTCTGACCAGACTCAAGACTAAGAGTCATCTGTCACCCCACTTGTAATTAAGGCTCAAAATTATCGGTTCCCATCGATATTTAGATTGCAACTTTCTTAGAGACGTACACCATTATTTTGTTATACAAGCTGTTCTGGACCACTAGAATTTTTGCTTGAGCTACAGTGATACAATATCGATAAGTGATACCTTCAGGAATTGTTATTCCTACGATATTTTAGAATAATTTGTTGTAGTGAAAACCCCGTGATCACAACGTTATCACAACGTTATCACAACGTTATCACAACGTTATCACAACGTTATCACAACGTTATCACAACGTTATCACAACGTTATCACAACGTTATCACAACGTTATCACATTGGATTCTGCAATCTGCTAGCTTCTGTCTAACGACCCCCTCTAGTACATCGATAGTTCTAAAATATAAACACTTTCGAATATCACGTTACAAAGTTAAGGTAACAGGTTTTCACTTTTCGCAATACCTAAATGATACAGGAATAAGTGTTTTCAATCACACTAGAAATCCACTTTGTTTGGCCATACACTAGAAACTTATTTTGAGACTAAAAGTTCGAACAACCCTTTTTTTTACAATATATCCTTTAGACTTGACTTACTATTAGCTTCGTCAATTCAGTAGTGTTAGACTATAAAGGTGTCTAGTGATCATTGGTCTAACAGACTCAAGACTATAGTATCTGTCACCCTCACTTTAATTAAGCATAATTATACGGCTTCACCATCGATTTAATTGCAACTTTCTTAGAGAGTGACACCATAGTTGTGTTATACAAGCCGTTCTGGACCACTTAAATTTTGCTGAGCACAGTGATACATATATCGATAAGTGATACTTCAGATGTTATTCCACGATTTTATGAATAACTTTGTTGTAGTGAAAACCCCGTGATACTGTTTAACGATTACACACGTTATCTACACGTACACAACGTTTACACATACTTATCCAAGTTCACAAATACTTTCAAAAGTTATCAACGTTAAGTCATCACTGATTGATTTGCAATCTGCTATTTTCTAACGACCATAGTAAATATCAGGTCTAAAATATACAACACTTTCGAAATACGTTACAAATAGGTAAAATATATCCTGAAATCTTTACCAAGAAAACTGTATGTGCTACTCCTGCAAAGGAAATTGCAGCATGTGCGGTATCGCGATTTTTCACGTTTGCCGCGACAAATCGCGATTTTTCAGATTCTGGCCTCACGACAAATCGCGATTTTTTCCAGTTCTCCGCGTCAAATTGCGCATTTTCCTTTAAATCTACGGACCAAATTCTCGTTTTCTATAATTAGTATATGAAACCAATCAGTATCGCATCCACAACCTTCCGAATGTAGGCACGGACTTCAAAAAACCGAAAACAGAAAAATATATTTTCGGCTCAGAATGATCAAGGTAGCATGAAACATGAACTAAAATAATTTCCAGAAAAACTTTGAAAAATTTTGACTTAGAAAATTTTCGGTCCGAGTCATTCTCGATACGTACCTCTGAAAGCAGAGCTCCCGCTTCGGAGCTCGTATTGCGAAGGGGAGGCCTGCCTTCCGAGATCGCATTACAAAGGCCAAAGTGGAACCCTCGAGTCCAAAATCATATATCGAACTTCGAAAACCGAAAAAAATATTTTTGGCTCATAATGATCAGGGTAGCATGAAACATGAACAAAAGTAGTTTCCAGAAAAACTTTGAAAAATTTTGACTTAGAAAATTTTCGGTCCGAGTCATTCTCGATACGTACCTCTGAAAGCAGAGCTCCCGCTTCCGAGCTCGTATTGCGAAGGGGAGGCCTGCCTTCCGAGATCGCATTACAAAGGCCAAAGGGGAACCCTCGAGTCCAAAATCATACATCGAACTTCGAAAACCGAAAAAAATATTTCTGGCTCATAATGATCAGGGTAGCATGAAACATGAACAAAAGTAGTTTTCAGAAAAACTTTGAAAAATTTTGACTTAGAAAATTTTTGACTAAATAAATTTTCGGGCAAAATTTTTTTTCCCAAAATTTTTAGAAACCTAAATTAAAAAGTTGGCCCTTTTTGGCCCCTTGCCCAGATCTCATGGGGGGCGATGGCCCCCCCTGCCCCCCCCCCCCCCCCCCCCCCCCCCCGCTTCCTACACCCCTGTTCCCACCCCAAAGACGGATTCGGAATCTTAATTTAAAACTTGTCAAGCTCCTTAATCTTTGAAGTTAATAATGGACATTTTACATCTTATAGTACAATCCATCAATTTTATGTCTGTATATTACAGTATTACGTTAAGTTTTGTAAAATAAAGTTATTTATTCCGTTGAATTGTCGATTAGAACCGCCGAGACATTTTGATTTGATCAAAATGTCTGTACAGAGGGTCATGAATTTAGTTTGATTTGTGTTGATGTCAGGTTTAATATTTATCCATTGTTTTTATTGCCCTGACTGTTTGCTCAGTATTTAGAATAACCGGAATCTTGGTTATGATTGACCAATGGATAAATAATAAATATGTTGCCATGCACCAGAATACCACACTAGACTAGAACACCACACAACTAGAACACCACACAACTAGAACACCACACAACTAGAACACCACACCAAGTCTAGAATACCACACAATTAGAACACCACACAACTAGAATACCACACAACTAGAATACCACACCAAGTCTAGAACACCACACCAAGTCTAGAATACCACACAACTAGGACACCACACAACTAGAACACCACACCAAGTCTAGAATACCACACAATTAGAACACCACACAACTAGAACATTACACAACTAGAATACCACACCAAGTCTAGAATACCACACCAAGTCTAGAACACCACACAACTAGAACACCACCCACAACTCACCAATGTACTGAAAGAGCTCACTAAATACATCGTTACGAACGAGTTCTGACTGATAACAAATCCCAGATGTGGGATGTCGTCGTACATTCCACTAAATATAGGTATCGCTAGAATTATGTAACTCAGAATGGCCCCGATGTAATCGCTCGTGTTTACTGCCATGCTGAGAAGTAGTTGCTTGGTTACTATCTTCTGCTTAGAATCCAGGATAGATTTCAACGTCGCCTGAAAATGATGAGATTAACCAAAACTAGACAATAAGGCATAAGCTAGGTAATACAATAATAAGCTAGATAATATAAGCTCAGCTATTAAATGATATAATAAGTTATCTGCAAATAGTAAAACTCTTATTTTACTAGACGGACTTATAACAGTATCGCGAAATATATCGACACATTTCGTCAATCATAAGTCAGTCCCTGTCCAGATCAGGCGTTTTATATTTATATCAGTGCTACCAGTACCTGTAGTGAGTACTTTAAACAGTACAATTCTCTAGTACCGTAACATTATATTTGTAATAAACTAGTTAAATAGTTAACGTAGTTTATCTTTGATCGTATGGTTTCTCGAATTTAAACCCAACCAAACGTTCTGAAGAACGAATGGAGACTGGAGAGCATAAACCATTTTAATAAATCAAAGGAAGCTGCATCATCATCATCTAATTCTACCTTTTAAAATTTAATTCAAAATATTCATGAAACCACACGATTTTAAAACGTGAGTTTCAATAGTTCGCGTTCCTTCAACTCGCTAATGCTCTCTTGCAGCTGTTAAAACGCCCCTGGTTAGACGCGGATAAATTTTCACCGGTTAAATATTCATTCACCTCACAGCGGGTATTATATTATATAAGCCTGGTGCAAAATGCAAACTTGTTGGATCGTTTATGAGCTTACCGGTCCCCCATTATATAAGTCTGCAAAACCCGTTCCCGAGAGTTCCATGCTAAATGCACACAATGGTACAGTTAGTAGTGTTGGTCTAGTATTTTATAAAGGAGAGGGTCCTCTATTTTGCTTTGTCCTCACTACAAACTCACGCTCTTTTGTCTGCTTCTCATTATATTTAGTAACTGGATTTCTACCTACTGAACGATTTTCAAGGATGTCTTTTTTACTGGAAAAATTAGACTTGGACATTGTTTTTAACTATCCCTTGATTCATATGCATAACCTTTAGTGCTTTTATCACCTTGAAGGGCGTATCTTTTTGCTCCACAAAGATCTTCCCACAGCCTCGGCCAAAGTGCTTCTCTTACTGAACATCTTAGTGAGTAGTGACATCTTAGTGAGTAGTGACATCTTAGTGAGTAGTGACATCTTTGTTAGAAACACTTACAGTAGCAACGGTGAACCATTATCCATATTAAGGCTAAAAGCCCATGAACATACAAATTTGGGAAGTTAGCAAATATATTTCAGGCATTAATCAGACATTTTATATTATTACGAAGTCCGAGCACATAATATTATAAAACGTTAATCTTTGAGGGATTTGATAATTTCATTGCTCTTGTAGTTTTATGGTGATATTTCTAATGATATATCATTGCAGCTGGTAGGTCTAGTTAGGCTGAGTGGTCTAACTCAGGCTATCAGAAAATCAAAGTGATCTATGCGTTAGCTTTGTAGTCTTTATGTCAATATTTGTCGGTTTGTTCATGTATACATAATACATAATAATAAAATAATAATAATATTATATATATGATCGCTGTTTCCCTTTGCGTCGGTTATATATTTAATATGATATCGATGCCATTCTATAACAATTTCTAGGCAGCGGAACTTTGCGATATGGTTTAAATACTGATTTTGAATTTTTTTTTGATAAGAACCAACATTGTGCTACAACATACCGTTTATTTAATATTGTATACCATTCACAGGGGTTTTTCTTCTGTTACTGAGAACTTGTTCATTATACTAAAAATATGGAAAGATATCAAACATATGATTTCACGTTCATTTCATTATATCACAGCAAATCTTGTCTATAATAGTATAATGACTTCAGTGTTCCTGCCCTTTTCAACTTGTATATTATAATAAAGGCAGATCTGCCATCCCTATCTCGGACTAATAATACGCATTTACTGGTCACTACTGAGCCTGTTTCATTATGCAGGTAACTCATTAGGGTATTAGTGTACAGCAAGTTCAACTAAGATGGGATATCTCTGATAGTGGTTCGTGTCTAAGTCCCAATAACCAAATTACTTGATCAATCTGGGCCCCAAAAAATAGCGCACTCCGCGGTAGCGACTGCCGGTTGCATGGCCATTATATTAATTATGCACCTTGGTTTGTGATTTCTACTTGGGCTCGATTATAACTGATATCCAATCCAAAACGGTTGTGGTTTACACGTGCTACTAAAAACGGTCTCTGGCAATTAGGTTACTACTTGAACCGCTGGTAAGAGACCACGGTCTCTCTGACGTATTGTAGTATTTATACTACAGGGTGTCCCAAAAAAGACGCCCCAGTGAGAAACCCTCCTCATTTCCTCAATGGTACTCATGTCTTAGTATGTTTACCTAAATGGGTTGGGAGATTTGTTTGTGACTTCTGAAAACTTAAGCAAACTATTTTGAGTCCTCATTTTAAAAATGTCAGAAATTGTCCGAAATAGTCCTCAAATTATAGGCTCGTCGACCATTTTGAGCGCTGAGCCAAGAGGAAACCTCAGTTAATGCTAAAAGTCCCAAAAGGTGCTCACGAGGTGCTCTCATTTTCCCAGCAGGCCTGAAACCCAAAAATGGACGAAAGGCCGAAGTTGCATAAATCATGCATTTTTTAATGCGATTAAGTCGCTAGTCGTTGATTTTCTAGCTTTAATGGTCGCACATGTTCCTTGGTAAGTGTACTGACAGATCAATTAGGTAGCCGAATATTTAAAATCATATGAAAATAGGGCAAAATTACGCCGTTAAAGGTTTAAAGAAAGGGTGTGGCCCGAAAATGCTCCCAAAGGCCAAAACATGCTGGACCATATCAAAAACCTCCATTTCAGTTGTCATTGTGAAGAAGACTTTCCATTGTGTTTGTATATGCCTGGTTTACAACTTGGGGCAGTCTTAACGTTTCAAAACTAGGATTCCATCATGGACGAAAAATATCACCTATTCTGGGATCACACTAAGATTTCTTCGCATATCTTTAACATCGAAAAAAAATATTGCCCATCAAGTTCATATGAGACTCCCAATGGTCCTTAAAAAGTCTCCTAACCCCTTAGAAAATTATACTAAGAGATCAAAACCAATGACTTAAAACTGAGAAAATTAGGAGGGTTTCTTGTTGGGTAGTCTTTTTTGGGACACCTGCACCCTGTATTAAAGTTTTGGATCAAGTCTGCGGAAGCATAAAACCAAAAATATAAAACGCTTTTTTGATTATATTTGTCTTGGAGCTTTTTATAGTGGATTTCTGCCCATGACGTTCAATCGACTTTTTTAGTGTCACTGAACAGTGAACGATTAATAAACAATATTTTTTAATAATTGAACTGATCAAAGATTACTCGCCATTGACCAGAGTTAGGTTAGCTTTTAAAGAAACTATTAGAAAGAACAAAATAGAAATCCTGTATTTGTTCGATTAATTTAGAAAGAAAAAATGGCGAAAGAACAGATCAATCCCGCGATGAGCTCCCACGTACATAATTTAACTCTTAGTCCACCAGACTTGATAGAATATCTCCCTTCCACACACTGCACCACAGTTAGAGGTGGGTCCCACCCTGCAAGCCCCTCTCCCATCTCCCCACCTATCTCCCTACACTCTCTAAACCCAGGTCCTACCAGAGTGTAGTTAGAACCAGCACACTCCACAGAGACACTGTCCCCAGCACTGTAAACACCCTGACTGTTAGGGGCTGATGTTATCTTGATGTTAGATAAGATAAGAGTGGGGTCAGTGCAGCCCTTCACACATTCCTGGTAGTTCTGTACTTGTAGAGCTGGTTTGTAGCCGGTTAGGGAGCAGATGGTTGAGGTGGCTCTGTTGTAGGATTCTCTGGTAACTCCATAACCAATTTTACAGGATAGTTTTATGTTCAGCGCCAGGTCCCGGACTACTGGTGCGGTGAAACTGTTTAGGGATAGAGATCCTCGCGGGTAGTCCACTGCCATGTGATTGTCGTCCAGGAAGTTGGGATCAAGGTTGGGGCACCCTCGAGCACACCACTTGGTTTCACTGGTGAAGATGTCTGGTCTCATGACTCCGCCCTGACACGTGACTATAATCTTACCCTCGTTGTTATCCAAGTAATCTCCTGCTGTTGGTAGCTTATCTCTGGTTTTATCGTCTGGGTTCGACAGTCGTCTGTACTTGTTCATGAAAGTCCAGGTTTCAAGTTGGCATTTGGCGGTGATCCAACGTCCGTCAATAATGGCAGTCCCGTCTATTTGTAGGGAAGGTAGAGTGGGGTCGGAGTTAGCGGTTGATATTGTCAGCTCATATTTCCACTGTGGAGGCAGCAAGCAGTGGTAACCTAAATACAGCAAAAATGTATTTCATTTAAAAACTTACTATGTCCAAAAATTTATTTAATCCTGCTATTTTGATTTTTAAAATATTTTCGAGAGATGTTGAAAACAAATCTTGTTTAAAGAATAAATCATATTTTCAATTTGTTGCTGCTGGACATTTTCAAAAGAAAGGCTTCGTTTGATTAATTACAATTCTTCACCTGATTGCGATATAGTTCCCAGTATAACAACAAGGAAACCATAGAAATAGAGCCTCAGCCTCATAATATGAGTATAAACGTTAAAATATGTCTCGACTGACAAAATGTGCAAGCAATCTAAGAAAATCTGATGATCAAAATACCTCATCTTTTTACCGTCACTCAACAGTCATATTCAACTTCAAGACCAGCCAGATTAATGAAAAAGAAAATCGGGCCACATGGCCACATATTCACGGATTTGTAGCTATAGTCCGCAGAACATATTCACAAATATCAGTAATATTCAAAATGAAGCTCTAACTTATAACTTGCCAGTTTTCTTATAACTTAAAGGATATGCACGGCGTCAGTATTATAACCGTCAGGTACTAAGTTCCGTACGTGACGTATGATCCCCCGGCCCCCGTAACCGTACCAATTTCTTAATCACATCACCACTACAGTGATTCAACCCTTATACCACATAATTACCAAGTCCTACCTTGATGTTCCATTCTCTTGTGAAACTTATAGCCTGGGAGTTTCCTCTTGAATGGTTAATCGCCGCCGTGTGGCTCACGTTGTTCGTGTTAGACTTAAGGATGATTTGATCGGTTACCGGATTGTTAACTTTTTAGAGTTCCATGATATATTATAGAACTTACTCTTATCCAACCGTATAAGGGGTGCCTGAGAAACTGACAATTTAGCCGTAACTTGTAGAGTAGATGGTAGTGGAATGTAGATTGTGGACAGGGTCTAGCTCTTCCTATTCTGAACTGCGTGGTCATGTGGTACGCGCTGGTTTTATCAGTTGATCAAGTGAGTAGCCTCTCTCACGGCGAGACTTTTATTGACCCTTTAGCAACCTGTCAACTTTACAACCGGTAGTGGAATGTAGAAGGGTCTAGCTCTTCCTATTCTGAACTGCGTGGTCAACTGGTCATGTGACGTATGCGCACTTTCTGATAGACAGTATCGCGTGTTGAGGTCGTTCTATTGGCTGGTTTGCTTGTCACGTGACGATGCAGCGCGTGTATTAAAGAATTCTTTACTGCGTGATGGTGATCAGTACGAGAACAATGCCAAAGCAGTTAGTCTACCATTAACCATACAGTTAACCAGACAAATGTCAAGGTGAACTCAATTTAATGAAGTGCAGTTAACAGTTTATGAAATTAAAGACTCGGTCCTAGAAGTTCAAAGGGAATCATGGCATGGTTCACTTGTTCTGATTCGCGTAACAGTTAACTAATAGTTTCATGATTTGTCGGTTTGCAGTTGAGACTTGAGATAGTTTAGTGAAAAACTTTATATAATATATAAGCCTTCAAGAAGAACATACCTACCTCTCTGAGCTGGTTTTATCAGTTGATCAAGTGAGTAGCCTCTCTCACGGCCGTTTGACAAACTTTTAGTGACCTTTTAGTGACCTGTCAACTTTACAACCGGGCCCATTACAAGTGTATTACAAGTGCCAGGCTAGGAGTTTTAATCTTAATTTGTTTTTGTCTTCTTACGTACGCTAAACTGGATGTATCACAACTCACGACTTTTTATTGCTTACCGAATCTCTCTCTCTCTTTTGAGCTGCTACTCACTTACTCCGTCACACAGTCGATGAACCCACGTACAATCTAAAATTTTACGAGTATCAATAATTAATTTGTCTCGTCCTGCGTGGGACATGGGGAGGTGACTTCAACAGTACTTCACCGGTATAAAGTCTGAGGTTGACAGTAGATTGAGTCAGTTCATCAAGGGTACTGGTACTTTAAACAGAGACGGCTATTTGACATTAACTCTTGGTTGTGACTTTCTTCCGATCGTTAATATTTTATTTTGTTCCAGATACTTCTTGGACTTTTCATGGGCGATCGTATCTGTGCAGTACCACTGCCCAGGGGTAGAGGAAGCAGGGGGGGGGGGGGGGGGGCATCGTCACCCCATAACATCTGGGTAAGGGGCCAATAAGGGCAAACTTTTTTATTTAGGTTTCTAAAAATTTTAAGAAAAATATTGGTCCAGTCGAGAATGACTTGGGCCCATAATTTTCAAAGTCAATATTTTTTTCAATGCTGTGGCGCGAAGCGCCAAACAAATTTAGAATTTTCCTACGCGGGGGCACCCCTGCCACTGCCTTAGAATTGAACAATATACTGCGACATTATATATCGGATAATTTTTTACAATAATAATCTAAATCTTTTCAAACAATACATAATTATACAGAAATGAATGCTCCTATAAAACCCAGGTATAAAAGGAGAAAACCAATATAGCCCAAATATCCAGTAGCCCAATATATCAAACCCAAGTTATGTATTTAAGGACGCACCCGCAATAACATTGGCCCCTCGCAAAAAAATAATTAATCAATGAATCAAAACATATAATATTGCATTTATAAAAAATATAAAATTATGTTTTGAAGGATGGGTCACCAAAACACGAAAGTGTGCAATATTGAATACCGCACCCGCAATAACATTGCCCCTTACAAAAAACTAATTAATCAATGAATAAGAACATAAAATATTGTATTTATAGAAAATATAAAACTCTCAAGGTTCCTTCTCTGAGCTTCTGAGCTAATTTCCTGATTACGTGAACTTTGTCCGGCTCTGCTGTCCTTTTATTGAGCAGTTGGTCGACAACTTTCTTGTAGGCTATTCTGTCAGCAGCTGATCTATCCGGAGTAATGTAAACTGAACTAAACCCCTCTACATGTCTTAGTAGCTTAGTCTTGCTTAAGATGGTACGAGCTTGATCTGAGCTTGATAAATTAAGCTCAGATCAAGCTCGTACAAATTACGAAATATTAAATACGAAATACTAACCTTATTGCAAGCATTTCTGCAGAAATCGTCAAACAGTAAATAGCCAATGCAATCGGGTTTTTATGAACGAGCAATAACGATTTAATGCTATAATATGCTCTTAACTTGCACCGCAAACAATATTATTCATTGGTTACAGTGCCTATACTTATAGCTGTATATATTCATTCCTTCCAGTAGTAATAGTATATCTCCAGAATTCTTACAACTTCTCAAATCTCCAACTCTTGATACATTTAGTTAAACTGTACTTTGTAATTTGTTGTGCCAGCTCTTTATTAATATTATATCGACTGAGTCTTTCTCCGGAATTTTGATTAAATTAGCTTAATTCTGTTAAACTGGCTGTCATACCAGTTCTTTAATTTTATTATTACTTTATCAATTGAGCTAGTATAGAGCTTGAGTGACATTTATTTAATATTAATATACCATTTATTTATTTTGGTATGTTTTTAATGTCGAAGCGTGTAATACGTACTCGAATTTCTCCATTATTATTCATTTATTTATACATTCCAGCTCTATGATAGCAGCAAATAACAAGACCCTCTTTGGAGACTGGGGTGTGGAGAGAACATCCCTTGTCATTGCCTGGAGAAGTACAATCCTTGTCTTCTCCCTAGTCGGTAACATCACCATCATGTTCGCCATCACCAAATACCACGCTATAAAACTAGGACGAATCACCACGTCTTTCATAGGACACCTAGCTGTCTCAGACCTTGGTTTGACTCTGTTTGGTATTCTGCCTTTACTCACATTCTCGCTTATCACAGCGAGTGGCAGTGACTATATAAACGGAGTGATCTGCGCGGCAGTGTGTTTTACTTGCACACTCTTTATATCTAGCAGTGTGCTGTTAGTCTGTATGCTGAATCTCTGCAAGCTCGCTACCATGCTCTTCCCCCTGAGAAGCAGAGGTTGGTCAGCCAGGTTAGCTCACATTTCAGCGGGGATATCCTGGGGCTGGAGCAGCTTATCTGCTGTTTACTACGTCGGGATTAACAGTGAGACAGTGTACTTCGACTATAGGATTGGAGGCTGTATGGTCAGGACAGTCTCTCCCAAACAAAAGTGGTTCAGAATAACGAAACTGTTTGTGGGTATTGGACTGCCTGGAATTCTTGTCATTCTTACCACCCTCCGACTTCTCCACTTTGCTCAACGTCAAGCCAGGACACACATGAGGAACTCTCTCCAGTTTCAGAGTGCTGTAACAGCCATCTCCATCGCTTTCTCTTACTGTCTGTCATACCTCCCATTCTTTGCCTATCTAGCTATCACCTACTTCATGGTTGACAACAAACAATTTGACATTATTCACAACGAGAAAGGATTGGGAGCAAGGACAATAATAGTTGAGTATGATAAATCTGGACGGCAAATAAACGGGTTCTTCTACAAAGACTTTTACCTGATGGCCTGTCTCTTTACATTCCTCAACAGTGGTATTAACTTCTTTATATACTTGGCGTCCATCACTAGCTTCAGACAGTTTGTCCAGCGTAAAGTGAGCCTGTTAGTTTGTGGGAGATCAGATGCAGTACCACTGTCTGCTAGGCAGAATCTACTGAGAAGAGATCTGGAGAAAGCTTTAAGTTTTAACGGCGTGTTGGGTCAGGACGTTGATGTGCATGACACAGGGGTTACTATTAGCAACGACACGTTCTCCAGATCAGGATGATGAACTTGTGATTTATTTTTATTTTTATGTACACTGTACAGAGCTGGGGTTTGTGGATTCCATGATGTTTTTTATGTCTTTTTTGTCGTTCATTTTTGTTTGCTGTTATGTGCGTTGATTTTATTAATTGTGTTTTGTAAATATTCGATTTGATAAAATTCGATGTTCAAAGACGCTGTTGTTAGTTTGTTCATTCATTAGGAATAGAAAGAGGAAATCTATTTTAATACTGAATCAAATCATACTATTTAGAAAATTTGCACGAGCATATCCAGGCTCTGGTGCATATTAATAAAGAATATTCGTCGGAAAATTGCTGACTATCAATGTCAGTGGAGGATTCTCAGACTTGCAATTCTTGATTATACAGTATTAAAAGGACCTGATCTTGACACGGGTTCGACTCAACAAAAATAAGCTAAATACCAAGCTTGAGATGAGCTCGTTAAATGAGCTTATCATAGGAATTATATCATGAAAATATTTATAAAAATAACCTGAAAATTAGCATGCTCGACTTGTTCAGCATCAGAGAACGCAGCGGACTCTGCTGAAGATCTCAGGTTAACGTGGATATATCTGAAATGTCCCTCTTTTCTCTCCAGACGAAATACCTGCCAACACATGGACTGTTATTAGAATAGTACACAGGCTGCAGCTTATATTTGCAGCTTACTCTTTCATGATTAATTACATGAAAAGTAACACTTAACTCTCTTATAGTAAGTGTTGTACAGCAGTGAGTCTAGTAAAAATATCGTGAAAACAGAAGAAAGTTTGAATGTTTTAATTTACCTCTGCAACAATAGGTGACATCAAGAAGCTGTTGAGAATGTACGCCACTGTAAAATAACCGTAGATACAGACCGGACCCAGGTACCCCATGGCATGCCAGCACTTGTACGTGTAGTAAATAGCAACTCCCGGGAAGACAACTATTTGTAATATTATTGACTGCAGTGTTTCAGTCAGTTTATCCACGTCCTGGAGGTGTTGTTGGGTACTGATGTTTTGTATTTATGGAAGGAAATTCAATCATCAAAAGAGTTTGATTTGTACGGGAAGCTAGAGTTTCAAATATTGTTTAGTTGGCAGATTTGAACGTATTTTGTTTCTTGGAATCGCAAGACTTGAGTGAATTTGTTAGATCGAGAATATTTAAGGGGGCCACACACCAAGTTACCAATATATTTACCATATAATAAAGCTATAAAGGTAAAAGAGGCCAAATATGGCCATAAAATCTTGACCACAAAAATAAAAAGCTCAGAAACAAATTAAACCTGTGTAATTCTCATATCAGGGTTATCAATAGCACTGTTCAAACAGTTCAAGTCGTAGTAAATCTTGTTGCTAAAATACTTCATGTGCAGATCCTCATTAAGGTTCCACCTCCATTGTATGTAAAGGGCTCCTGCTGCGTAACTTTTACCTGATTTTATCAGCACTATCGCCACTACCCACCAACACGCCCTGAAATTATTTATTGTCATGTTAGTTTAATATATTGTTTATTAGTTTTAAAACGTTTCAATCTTTCGTTGTACTGCTTGGGTGTTGAGAAACTCAAGCAGCAGTGTGCAGGCAAACTGGAGGTACAATCTAGTATCTCTATTCAAGTAATTACCATTCCAGAGTCCATCTTATGTGGATTGAATGCGTTGTGAGCGGTACATGGTTATATACCTAAGGAACTGAGCCCAGGTAGAGTTGTGCTAACAGTGGAAGTGGTACAAGTAAAACATACAATGCACCTTTTCCTCTAGTTTACTGATCAATATCTGGAATAATTTCGTCAAAGGATCGGGTATTTCCATCGGACGTAATCATATTATCCTAATTAGCATATTCCTTGTTCCACTTCTGTGATTTTAACACCTCTCTAGACAGATGTCGCATTATTCTCACGACCTCCTAACCATTACAAATTACAATTTGCTGCCGCAGAATTTTTTCTTTGCAATCTCAAGAGGGCATTATACGTACTTTATCTTCCGATTATATAACGGCTAGGTATTATAACCTGCTTAAAACTTCATTTTAAGTTACTTCCTCACATGTGAGGTAATTTTCCAGACAATTCTTGACATTTTTGTTTAATATTTATCGTATACTTTTTATTATTGTTTTAATAGTACCACTTCCATGATGACAACATCTCTACAAACAGATATTGCACCTTACTAAAAATCAATTCTCAGAGCAATTATAAAGGAGTGTTATACAGTTTTAAACTAATTAGAACACTACAAATCTATTACATTTATTGAGGAGTGAGGACGTTACAGAAGGAATTGATTTAATATAGTTCGAGGAGTCCTAGCTCTCCTCACGTGCGTAAATCTTCCAGACAATTTTTGACATTTTTGTTCAATTATCCTGTGCTCAGAAGGATTGGATAGTGACGGAATTTCTTTTAATTTATCTCATAATTTTAATTATTGTTTTAATAGTACCACTTCCATGATGACAACATCCCTACAAACAGATGTTGCACCTTACTAAAAGACAATTCTCATAGCAATTGTAAAGGAGTGTTATACAATAGTATATATATTATATAGTTCACAATTTCTCACATTATCATATCCGAGGTTTTTGAAAATTCCGCCATACCGCCCGACCAGTTGCCGAATATCACTTGTTCTATGGTTCCTGGCCTTGTACAGACTAACAACTACTGGAAGTATCTTATCTACGTAGTACGTACTTCACAAAGTGAACGACCTTTCTTCGTGTGTGGTAAAACCTGCACCGTGGGATTTTGGAGGGGCATATTTAAGAAACTTGCCGATTTGCATTCCTTTGCAATTAACAGGCGTGGATTCAGTGATGAAGTCATTATATAGTCACAAAAATCATGGGTGCAAAGCATTCCTCCCTCGAAGAGGTGCAAAGAATAGGGTTCAAGTTACCACGCCTCATTTTCTGTCTAGGCGCCTAGAGCAGGATGATCCTTTTCAGGTTAGAAGGTTGATCTCCTGGAAGCTGTTATGAAAACCCTTCACAAATTATGGTCTATAAGAGGTAGTTTCTTAGCTTATGGTGAATATTCGCTTTTATAATGCAGAATCTAGTGGTTCGTTAATGAATTTCATGTAAGATATGTCACGCTTCCAAATATACTGATATACACCAAAAACAACTCTCTGAACTTTCTTAACAGAAAACTGGAGAAGGTCGGAATGACCCTTTGAAATCTTGATATGTATACCGTTTCAGCTGAAACTATAGCAGCTAGAATAGCAGTTTAAAGTGTTTCAGCTGAAACTAGAACAGCTAGAATAGCAGTTTAAAGTGTTCCAGTTGAAACTAGAACAGCTAGAATAGCGGTTTAAAGTGTTCCAGCTGAAACTAGAACAGCTAGAATAGCGGTTTAAAGTGTTCCAGCTGAAACTAGAACAGCTAGAATAGCGGTTTAAAGTGTTCCAGCTGAAACTAGAACAGCTAGAATAGCGGTTTAAAGTGTTCCAGCTGAAACTAGAACAGCTAGAATAGCGGTTTAAAGTGTTCCAGCTGAAACTAGAACAGCTAGAATAGCAGTTTAAAGTGTTCCAGCTGAAACTAGAACAGCTAGAATAGCGGTTTAAAGTGTTCCAGCTGAAACTAAAACAGCTAGAATAGCAGTTTAAAGTGTTCCAGCTGAAACTAGAACAGCTAGAATAGCAGTTTAAAGTGTTCCAGCTGAAACTAGAACAGCTAGAATAGCAGTTTAAAGTGTTCCAGCTGAAACTAGAACAGCTAGAATAGCAGTTTAAAGTGTTCCAGCTGAAACTAGAACAGCTAGAATAGCAGTTTAAAGTGTTCCAACTGAAACTAGAACAGCTAGAATAGCAGTTTAAAGTGTTTCAGCTGAAACTAGAACAGCTAGAATAGCGGTTTAAAGTGTTCCAGCTGAAACTAGAACAGCTAGAATAGCGGTTTAAAGTGTTCCAGCTGAAACTAGAACAGCTAGAATAGCAGTTTAAAGTGTTTCAGCTGAAACTAGAACAGCTAGAATAGCGGTTTAAAGTGTTCCAGCTGAAACTAGAACAGCTAGAATAGCGGTTTAAAGTGTTCCAGCTGAAACTATAGCAGCTAGAATAGCGGTTTAAAGTGTTCCAGCTGAAACTAGAACAGCTAGAATAGCGGTTTAAAGTGTTCCAGCTGAAACTAGAACAGCTAGAATAGCGGTTTAAAGTGTTCCAGCTGAAACTAGAACAGCTAGAATAGCAGTTTAAAGTGTTCCAGCTGAAACTAGAACAGCTAGAATAGCAGTTTAAAGTGTTCCAGCTGAAACTAGAACAGCTAGAATAGCAGTTTAAAGTGTTCCAGCTGAAACTAGAACAGCTAGAATAGCAGTTTAAAGTGTTCCAGCTGAAACTAGAACAGCTAGAATAGCGGTTTAAAGTGTTCCAGCTGAAACTAGAACAGCTAGAATAGCGGTTTAAAGTGTTTCAGCTGAAACTAGAACAGCTAAAATAGCGGTTTAAAGTGTTCCAGCTGAAACTAGAACAGCTAGAATAGCGGTTTAAAGTGTTCCAGCTGAAACTAGAACAGCTAGAATAGCAGTTTAAAGTGTTCCAGCTGAAACTAGAACAGCTAGAATAGCAGTTTAAAGTGTTTCAGCTGAAACTAGAACAACTAGAATAGCAGTTTAAAGTGTTCCAGTTGAAACTAGAACAGCTAGAATAGCGGTTTAAAGTGTTCCAGCTGAAACTAGAACAGCTAGAATAGCGGTTTAAAGTGTTCCAGCTGAAACTAGAACAGCTAGAATAGCGGTTTAAAGTGTTCCAGCTGAAACTAGAACAGCTAGAATAGCGGTTTAAAGTGTTCCAGCTGAAACTAGAACAGCTAGAATAGCGGTTTAAGGCCAGAGGGGGGGGTAAGGGGTCAAAAAATTCTACCAAAATATTATTTTCTAAATCGATTTAATTTTTAATGACAAAAACATTGCCGCTATTCACATATTTGTAGCTGATTAACTTTATTTTATAATTGAGGTTAACCGATTTTCACAAAATTGACTATACAATATTGAGGTTAATAAAATTGAGGTTAATATTTTATTACACGCCATAATTTTTTGTTATTTCGGTCAGCAAATGTAAACTCTAAATTTTAGGTTCATAATTGTCAGAAAAAGTAATATCCAAACGTGATTAAATGAGGTTAACCTCGTCTTTTAGATATAGCGAGAATAGATCAAATGATAGAGTTATTATTTTCATCGTAAGTTTTCGGTATACACATTTCTAAATAGATGACGTGTTGATTGACTTTCTTTTATCTTGGGAAAATGAAAAAAATGAGGTTAACCAACACATTTTGGTACCGTAGGGAATATACATACGGTTCTTACTTATGTAATGTACCACAATATCGAAGTGAGGTATCTATTGGTATCACAATGCCTACAACTATAATCACGTGACAAAGGTGATTCGAACTGACCATATTTTAGTAGAAGATTTTACCCGTAAATGGCTAAAAAATGAGGTTAACCTCTCATTTTTTGAATACCTGACTAGTCAATTACATGTTAACCTCAAAAACTTAATCGTTATACTGTGCAAATGTTTTACTACATATATAATAACATTGATAAACCAATCCCAGTGTTATATGGTCTAAAGCGAGGTTAACAACCAAATTTTAAGCAGTTAGTGTTTACAGGAAGTCTTGGTTAACCTCATTTTTTACAATACAAGGACATTAACTACTGAAAGTAGCTATAATCATTTAGGGGACGGCGAGGTCTGATCAAGCAAACGTTATTAAGTGTATAAAAAGTCCTAACTAACGAACTGTGAAACATTCCAGTGAATATTCAAAATTTTGAAAACACTAAATTGCATCTATCTTAAAACACATTTTTTGACCTTTCGATTCCTTAGTTGAGAAAACCGGCCACTCCCTGATCTTGAGGTTTGGTACAGTGGTTCCTTAGACAATTATCCTCATTTATTATGTGACCGATTTTTTTTATTTGACTCGGTTCTCGAATTATGAGGTTAACCAGCTAAATTTTCCGAATTTTTGACATGGTTAACCTCATAATTCAAGAACCGAGTCAAATAACAAAAATCGCTCACATAATAAATGAGGATAATTGTCTAAGGAACCACTGTACCAAACCTCAAGATCAGGGATTGGCCGGTTTTCTAAACTAAGGAATCGAAAGGTCAAAAAAGTTACAGCCGTTTAAAGATCCAGTTCAACATGTAATTACAGGTAAACCTCAAAATTTAGCACGCGATATCTCAGGAACGCAAGGTCAGATTTTGATCTGGTTTTTTTCTTCTTGTTCGTCTCCAGCAGCTATTATCAAATATGTGAAAACTAGAAAAGTGCCATTTACCCCCCCCCCTCTGGCCTTAAAGTGTTCAAGCTGAAACTAGAACAGCTAGAATAGTGGTTTAAAGCGTTCCAGCTGAAACTAGAACAGCTAGAATAGCGGTTTAAAGTGTTCCAGCTGAAACTAGAACAGCTAGAATAGCGGTTTAAAGTGTTCCAGCTGAAACTAGAACAGCTAGAATAGCGGTTTAAAGTGTTCCAGCTGAAACTAGAACAGCTAGAATAGCAGTTTAAAGTGTTCCAGCTGAAACTAGAACAGCTAGAATAGCGGTTTAAAGTGTTCCAGCTGAAACTAGAACAGCTAGAATAGCGGTTTAAAGTGTTCCAGCTGAAACTAGAACAGCTAGAATAGCGGTTTAAAGTGTTCCAGCTGAAACTAGAACAGCTAGAATAGCGGTTTAAAGTGTTCCAGCTGAAACTAGAACAGCTAGAATAGCGGTTTAAAGTGTTCCAGCTGAAACTAGAACAACTAGAATAGCAGTTTAAAGTGTTCCAGCTGAAACTAGAACAGCTAGAATAGCGGTTTAAAGTGTTCCAGCTGAAACTAGAACAGCTAGAATAGCGGTTTAAAGTGTTCAAGCTGAAACTAGAACAGCTAGAATAGCGGTTTAAAGTGTTCAAGCTGAAACTAGAACAGCTAGAATAGCGGTTTAAAGTGTTCCAGCTGAAACTAGAACAGCTAGAATAGCGGTTTAAAGTGTTCCAGCTGAAACTAGAACAGCTAGAATAGCGGTTTAAAGTGTTCCAGCTGAAACTAGAACAGCTAGAATAGCAGTTTAAAGTGTTCCAGCTGAAACTAGAACAGCTAGAGTAGCAGTTTAAAGTGTTCCAGCTGAAACTAGAACAGCTAGAATAGCGGTTTAAAGTGTTTCAGCTGAAACTAGAACAGCTAGAATAGCGGTTTAAAGTGTTCCAGCTGAAACTAGAACAGCTAGAATAGCGGTTTAAAGTGTTCCAGCTGAAACTAGAACAGCTAGAATAGCGGTTTAAAGTGTTCCAGCTGAAACTAGAACAGCTAGAATAGCGGTTTAAAGTGTTCCAGCTGAAACTAGAACAGCTAGAATAGCGGTTTAAAGTGTTCCAGCTGAAACTAGAACAGCTAGAATAGCGGTATTGTTAAATCTTCCCAGAGATGTCAGATTCCTCATGCCTTTTAACAAATTAGATTAGTCTGAATATTAGATAAGTCTGAATATTAAGTGTTCCTCGTTGTACCGCTCATTATCATGAATTCACCTCTGTGCGGATTGGTTCTGACGTTAAACCAGTAAGATTTGAGTAGTTTCATATGGTTAAACTTTAGTTTGCTGCAGGTATGGGCGCATTGGTTTGCTGCAGGTATGGGCGCATAGGTTAAACTGTTCTAGGTGGGAGCTGACAAATTTTATAATATCGTTTTAGACGATATAATTTCATTTAATAGTAGTTGTAATAGTATTAATATATAGTATTAATAGTAGTTGTAGTAGTATTAAAGTATTAATAGTGAAGTATAGGTAGTCTCCGTGCAAAGTGCAATCTGAAAGTGATCACAGGGTTTGCGGAGGACTATAAGGTCTTCATTTTCTTATATTTAATGATACATGACGATAACGATAACTTGTAAACCACAGATGTTTCCAGTATTGTTATGAAATATGAATCGGTACACTTACTGAATACTGAGCTTGGTGTCATTTGGTCATGAGGAAAACTGGGATTATAGATTATAAAAATTGTATATAAATAAATTTCCTTCGTAAAATTCATTCCTTTAAATTGAAATACGACTAAAGAGTAATTTACATATATCACATAAGCATACAAAAGTATAGAAAAGTATAGAGAAGGAGAACATGAGGTAACATCACGTGTTTTAATCACGTGGAAGATCGAGCGAAGATAATAAGGGATTATCGATTGGAATTCTCGAGCTATTTAAATAGAAATTAAAAGAGTGGGTAGGAGTTGGCACGATTTAAACTGAACAATTTGTTGACATCTTATTTCCCTCCAAGATATGATTGATGCGCTTTAAGATGTCTCAGATCATACTGAAATATATTGACTAGTAATTGTAGAGAGAGCCAATTCGAGGACTAGTGAGAATCGAAACGCAGGGAAATATCTCATTTTGGTAAATACTCGTCACTATTCTTATACACGGACATAACCGGCATTTATAGCGTTGTATATTTAGTATTATAATATATAAGGCGTTGTTGTATTTCTGGGTGGGAAGAAATTTCATATCTAATCGTTCTGAGAAAATCACAGTAGAATCATAAGTAGTTGACGGTATGAACGAAGTCATTCAAAATAGGAAGAAGTGAATTGAATTTCTAACAGCGATTAACCAATCAGATTTCAGTATTGACCACTCAATCCCAGGATAACGTGTCAAAACAAACATGATTCACACCTGCCCCCCCCCCCCCCCCCCACCACCTGCCCGCCTTATTTCCCGTACTTACACCCAGAGCTGATGGTAGAACCCGTCTATATCCCTGTTTTCTAGCACTAGATAAAACCCACTGGGGACTAGGCCCATGTAGTATATCGCTACCTGAGAATACAGCAGTGTTACTGGAGTGTTATACTGTGTGTGTGTTGAGTGGCATTCTTCAAGTTAACTCTGCATGTTAGATAGGACGTGTTGTTCATTATTGGTAGAATGAATCTTGAGCAGACAGTTCAAGTGTGACATTGTGAACATTGTCATAAAAACGTTACAAAACCATTAAAATAACCTTATAATATGCTGTTACAAAGTAAACAGTTTTATCATTGTACTACTATAATAAGTAATTATATTCTAGTGTTTGTTTGTTTGTTTGTTTGTTTGTTTGTTTGTTTGTTTGTTTGTTTGTTTGTTTGTTTGTTTTTTTTTTTTTTTTTTTTTTTGTTTGTTTGTTTGTTTGTTTGTTTGTTTGTTTGTTTGTTTGTTTGTTTGTTTGTTTGTTTGTTTGTTTGTTTGTTTGTTTGTTTGTTTGTTTGTTTGTTTGTTTGTTTGTTTGTTTGTTTGTTTGTTTGTTTGTTTGTTTGTTTGTTTGTTTGTTTGTTTGTTTGTTTGTTTGTTTGTTTGTTTGTTTGTTTGTTTGTTTGTTTGTTTGTTTGTTTGTTTGTTACCTGTTCTACAAAGCTAGCTGGTACTGTTATGAGGAGAATTAGAAATGCAGGAGTCCAAGGTCTGGACATTGTCTTCATAACCAGCCATAGTCTCTTTATAAACAGACAGTTTAATCCAACTCCACCGGTCATCCTACAAATTTTATATTGAGCTTTTCATTGAGAATTAAAACAAGTCCTTCATATTATGGAGCCAGGGTGTGGACTGGCTACACCTGGTGAAAAGACTTCCATCCCATTACATAATACTCGATAAATGTAATAGATTTGTAGTGTTGTAATCAGTTTAGACTATAATCTGCCATATATGCTGTCAAGTTGAGTAGTATGGTAAAACAATTGATTTAATCAACCAGAGTATTGTATTAGTGTTGCTACAATTGTTGTTGCTAAGTAACGGAATCTAACAGATTTTGTACATAATAAAGTAAGTTAATTAATCTTCCTCTATTTCAGCTGTTAGCATATACTACAGAGGAATCGAAGAGGTGAGTTGCTATGGAGATATATTGAATTTATCAATCACATACCTTACTGATGCAATTAACTTAATAATAATAATAAACTACGCTCTGCATCATAGATGAAATCGAGTAACAGTAATTAAGTGTAGAATTAACAATATTCAAACGTAATTAGACCAAACAAATTATGAAACTGCTCATTAATGATAGCTTCTTACAACCGACACACTTATATACCTTTATACATATAATTTGTTATCTATTTAATTGTAACCACACCAACCCCTCCCAACTACATTCCCACATTCCACCAGAACTACCCTGTACAGTGGACATCCCTCCCAGCTGAGATATGGGTTAAAATAATGGGCTACATTTCCCATGGAGAGCTAGTGGAACTGACGGTCTCTTGTTCTTATCTGCAACATGTTGCTGCTGACTACTCTATTTGTGAGTGTTTCCTTTTTACAGACTTTAAGTTGTTAGTTTCGTTTCGACGCCTGTTTACATTAACAAACGATTTTTGTTCAAGAAAGATGGCTTCTCATAAGATGAGAAAATTTTTTTTAAGTATTGAAAAATCAAACAAAACAACTGCTTTTTATCGATAAAGACTATTTTTAAAAGTGCACGCGAATAGATAGAGGCGTAAACGTATAAGATAAAATTTGCAACAAATGGAAATTTGACACTGAATCTGAAAAATTATACAATGTGTGTCTTGCACTGACTACAGAATTATGTATTACATCATTCATTACATTACATAAACTCCATTCCATGACTCGTACATTCTACATTTTACACTTAATTACACTCTCGTGTGACCTAATCACACGGCGTGTGAATTATTAATGCTTTAATGCAGCGGTCGAATAACTCATTCATCTGAATTACATTCTTAAAGTTCACAGAGATTCTTAGTTTCTTCGACATTCCATTTGCTTGTCGGCCCTTCACTATTTTAACTTTACTGCAATCACAAGCATGTTGTGCTATATTTTCTATTCATCTCTGCATCAAAAACGATTTGTTTATTAAAATTCAGGTTGGAATGATTGGTTCACTCTATTTTTGCATGCAGTGCCTTCCAGAAGTTTGTCTAGTTGCATGACAAGTGCGAAATCTTACAATTTATCTGTTATGCTACAAAATAATATTTCACAAGTCTCTAATAATACTTCCATCAATCATTATGATAACCCCCACTAAATTCTAAAATATTGTAAAATATCAAATTTTAACCGCAGTGGTCGAAACGGCACGCGCGGACACCTTACATAAAATTTGTGTCCCGACATAAAGTTTTCGTTGTTTACCTCAACTTTTTGAAAATGCTTGCGCGTCTTTCTATAAGTCGCATGGGGTGTTACCATGGGAACAGAACTTTAAATTAAGTCCAAAATTGTGAACCCAGACGCACAGCTGCTGATATCATATATCTTGCCGATAGAACAAATTTTGTCGGCCTATTCCTTATTTTTCAAGACAAATCTTTAATCTAGAATATTGCAAGAATCGTCAAACAGCGATTGATAGAGTTAAATTGTTAAATTGTGTTAAAATTTAAAAACTGTCCAATCATTGATTCAATGAAATATTTTAATAAAGGATAATATTCATATTATAAATTTTGAGAGATGCATCTATTGACCATACTATGTCCACTACGGAGTATTATTGATGTGTGAAATGCTAAGTTGAGGTCTGGAAAAGTTTTGCTGAGGGGCAACTAACCATAAAAACTACTGTTCCAGATTCCTTCAACTTATAAAGAACGATCACATCAAATATATAAGAAATTTGTCAGTAAAATCAATCTGCAGAGTGCTTTAACCATCACACTTTACCACTATGCATGTTACACAGGGAGCAAGATTACAGTAAGTGGGAGGGATCTGACAGATACACATCTCCAAGCTATTGGAGAGAGATCTCCTAAATATCTCACATTCAGCAGTTGCAACGGAAAGAAACTCTCACCTCTGGGATTCAGATCTCTGTTTAGGAACTGTTCTGCCTCACTCAAGGTTTGTTAGACATTACTCGACTAGCCTCATATTACTTCGAATTGAACGCATACACGAATTATGATATTATCAAGAGGGAGTCTTAAACGAAGCTGAAAAGCTTTCGAAATTTCCGACTAAAGAATTCTCAGCGACAAAACAAAACCAGACTAACATCGCAACGAACCTAACTCATCGCTGGGCTATAATGACATACAGCATATATTATGTAGTGTGTACCTAATATAGTGTAATGGTAATCGGATGAGAAATGTTACACACTCTCTCTCTCTCTCTCTCTCTCTCTCTCTCTCTCTCTCTCTCTCTCTCTCTCTCTCTCTCTCTCTCTCTCTTTCTATGACACGTAACATGGTCCCCGCAGGGTCTAACAATAACTGACTGTAAAGGAGGAGACTTAGTCTCAGCTTCTCTCCTCCTCCACCTCTCTGCGCGGTGTAGGGACCTCACTTCTCTTCATCTGTCTCTCTGTAACTTGGGAGATGAGGCGCTCACTCAGCTTGCTCAGAGAACTCACAGGTATGTGAATATCTTTACACACCACACTCGTGCAGATTATCTTTAAGGTGAGTTGCAGGTGGGACAAGGTGTGTAAGAGATGTGTCTAAACTTCTCAATACAGAATGATTGCAAGTATAGAGTAACTTTGAGGGAAGACGGTACTTTCCGATCTGAAACATCTACCCAAAAGAGAAAATATGTTTAGCCGTAGCGAGTTACTGTACACTGTAAATACTACTCTGCACTGTTGTGACATGTGCTGGCTGTGTGCCAGACCTGGCGAACTCAGTAGAATGTAGATACTTTACTGTACGGATATTTTAACGGAGAGGTATTTAAACCCAGACATAGATTCTGGTACCAATTGATTTAAGTCGTATTACCAGGTAAGAAAGACTAGCTCGATACTTACTGATTAATATAATTACCTGCAGGTTGGAGCAGCTGTGTATCCCGATGTGTAGTGGAGTATCAGATACTAGTTTCAGAGCACTGCTCCAACGGCACTACCGATACCTGACCTGTCTTGATATCACTGGTAAAACTTTTTAAATTACATGACAATCCCCTGGGTATTATATGACTATGAGATCTTTTTTAATACTTGTGTCAGTGTTTCAGCTGCCCTATATTTAAGTTTTAAAATCCCACACTCCACAGGGTGCTACCACATCTCCAGTGTAGCAATATCCCAGATCTCACTGTGCCCTAACCTGACATCCTTGTATTTGGGCAACTGCAACCAGATCCACTCGGCCACCATCCACACCCTCAGTGCCAAACTGGATAAACTTCTCATCCTGGACATCAGGGGCTGTAAGAACGTTTCAAGTGACAGTGTCATGGACTTGCTGAAAGCAAACCCCCACATCCATACGTTATCTTTATCTCATGTTGCCATGGTTACTGACGTGGTACTGGAGCAGATAGCGCGGACTTTGCTCAGTCTGAACGTGCTGGATTTATCTGGATGTATTAAAGTTACCAGTATTGGGATCCAGTATTTGGTTAAACACCCTCTCAGTGCGCTGGATCTGGGGTCTACTGCTGTTTCCTTTAGAGGGTGTTGCGCTATAGCTAACTATCTTTGTACAACTTTAAAACAGGTTTCTTTTAATTTCTGCTCTGATGTTAATGATGAATGTGTGAGAAAGATTGTACAGAAATGTAAGAAGCTGGAACGGATCAGTATTTTTGGGTGCAGTTATATTCGAAATTTGAGTAATTTAAGTAAATTGAATGCAGGCTTGGTTTTAGACTTTTAGTTTTAGTTTTGAACTTTGGATCGTTGTAATTTTATAAGTAGGTTCATTTATGTTAAGTTACCATATATATTGTCTTATTCATTGAGGATGTTATTATTGGATTGATGATTTAAAAAAGTGTACTATCTTAGAAATATTTAAAAAATCTACTGGCCACAAGAATAGCTCAGTAGCGTAACTTGATAAATAAATATAAGTTTCTCTGCCATTTACGCGGTACAGGTTTGTCTTCAATTCGATATATTATATGAAACCGGCCCATATTATGGAAATTGTAGTTCACGAGTTGTTCAGAGCTAATTTGAAATTGAAATCCAACTCTTGGGTAGTTTACAATGTGCAGTATCTTAAATTAAGCTGTGTTTAACTATACACTAAAGTAATTTTTTGTTCTTCCTATCGAGCATCTTGTCAATACATCTTCTGTTTATGAACATTTACAGAACACAGAGAAAGCCTGAGGTCCCCAGTACAGGTAAGTCAATGCACAATTTGAATTATTAGTGTATCTAAAATCTAGATCTCCAACTTACTAACTGTATTGTCTAATTAGGCATTTGTAATTGTTAAACTCTGAGTGTCTTACTGGGCGGCGATTAGGCGCATGCCTATAATATAATACTAATGCAGTCATTCCGCCATATCTTCAATTTTCAATAATCGGTGTTTATGACCACAAAAGCTTATTTGTTATTAGTCTATGTAATAAGCGCCATGAGTTGGCACAGAATTTTTTGTCTCTGATTTTGATAAATTTGGTACCAAAAGTTGCCTTTAACTGTGAATAATGAAAATTCACCGTGTACCGGTGTAGCACGATTCGTTGAGATGTATGTGGGCCTCCTGTTGCTGTGCATTGCAAAAGTGTACTATGGACGAAAAATGGTTAATTTATTGCTTAAAATGCCTATAACTCCTAAAATATTGAATATTTTGAAATAATTCTTACAGAATCGTAATGAGACGCAACTCTTGGTACCAAAATTATAATATTTAAAGCACCAAATTTTTCGAAAATTTGTACAAAATTTTACACAAGGGGGGACCCTTGTGTTCAGATTAAAAACTTTTGAAAAAAAATTCCTTTAAATCTTAAAATAGTAGTACTAAAAGTTTCGTCTCGATGAGCTGATTACGATACCATAATAACTATGTGGTAATAATTTAAAATGTGAAAGTTATAGGCCAAAAACTAAAAATTTGCGCGAAAAAAGCACGCGCGGCGAACAAGCGCCGTGTAGCATTTTTTCCGAAAATTGCTACACGGTGGATTTATTTTATTCACATTTTTAGACAACTTTTGGTACCAAATTTATCGAAATCGGAGAAAAAAGTTCTGTGCTCGCGCTTGGCGCTTATTACATTGACTATATAGTTATATTAATGTAGCGCGCAAAATTAAATATTCGGAGATGAGCGGGAATAGGGAATCGAAATACAAAACTTGATACTCGTTAGTATAGTCCGAGTCGTTACCTAAAAGTAAAATGACATCATACATGAGCGCAGCATGAATAATGCTAATGGAAATGCTGCAACAGATCTTTTTAGTTTAACTTTGTAAGTTTTATATAATATAAACGAGCTAGAGAGCTGGCAGTTGCCCTATATTTGCGATCAAATTTGTTTATATTCTAATCTAAATAAATGATAAAGGATGATGATTAATTACTCTACACTCGACTGTCACGTGACTTTTTCAACCCGTTCTCTAGCTGGTCCTGAACGACTATTCGATCAAACCTTGTCATGTCATACGTTGTATGACCCGCCGCGCACGAAGTGCGCGGCTCCCCTGTATCGTCGAAGACGGTACACTATAGTGAAGCACTACACTATAGTGAAGCGACAGTGGGGGTCACCACGTGATACAAATCAAACCCTAACTGCTAACCCTCTAATCTGATCCCAACCTTAACCCTAACCCAATCTTTAACAAAAGCATTTGCAATTTGCTGAAACCCTATCCCTAACGAGAAATTACGTCGTGACCCCCACTGTCGTTTCACTAAGTGTAAAGTTTTAACAATACGTCGATACAGGGGGAGCTGGAGCCGAGCACTCGTGCGCTACGGGTGGTCATCCTAACCTTAACCCAGTCTTTAACATAAGCATTTGCTGAAACACTTACTGGGCCGCGCTCAGCCTGTCATTCCACCTAATTTATGTTTATGAACATAATAGCCTGAGGTCCCCAGGTAACTGAAACACTAACAGTAACTTTGTCATTGGATGTATGACCCGCCGTGCGCGGCTCCCCTGTATCGCAGAAACTCTACAGTACAGTGTACACTACCAAAGTGTTGTATTACGTCGTGGGGGTCACGACGTAATACAACAGTAACCCCTATAACGAGAAATTAGACCAACTTCCTTGTACGTTCATATCACGTGATCGAAACATGAACAGTTTTTCGCGTTGTATGACCCGCCGCGCGCGAGTGCGCGGCTCCCCCTGTATTGTAGAAACCTGTATTGTAGAAACACCATAGTCAATAGTGAAACGACTGTGGGGGTCACGACGTGATACAAAAGCATTTTAACCATATTTTAACCATATATGTCAGGGGGTGTGATTCGAAATTTACTGGGCGGCGCTCAGCCTGCATCTTTCCGCCAAATCTTTATTTAAGTTTATGAACATAATATAGTAGCATGGGGTCCCCAGGTTATTCGGAATCAGCGTCCAAAAATATAGTATAATACATCTTACCTGCGGACCGCAGGCTTTAATGTTGGTAAATTACAATAGAGATTAGGCGGAATGACAGGCTGAGCGCGGCCCAGTAAAATACATCAAATGAAGTTGAAGTTGATTTCAATTTTAGAACAATCTCGAAGATCGAATGTAAAATTATTTAGCACGCCTGCTCAATAAATAAAAAATCCTGATATCCCCAATTAATTTAGTACTATTAAGCTGCATTTAAAGTAAATGTGAAATGCTTACTTAACTTGTTAGTTTTTTGCTCGACTTTCTTCACTTTACTTTTTTACTTTTTTGCTCGCCTTTCTTCACTTTACTTCTTCTGTGCAACTGCAATTAAGAAGCATGGAAAGAGCGCCGCCCATATAGGGTTTGGTGTACCAGGTGCGATACATAATCTCTGCAATTTTAAAATCGAGCGCTCGTTAAACGTGTAAATATAAAATTCAGTCTGTAGATGTAAACTTAAAACGTCAAAATTTAATTTCATACCTTTAAACTGAATTTTTCAACTGAAACTTTTAATAGTTAGTGTAACGTAGGTATTGTTTCATTTTCCATTCATTTTTCGCATTCGTTTTTATCTCGTTAACACCATAGCATGTAGCACATGGCTACTAGAATTGTCGTTACTTACGCGATCATGATCAAATTTTTCATTTCTAAATCAAAACATGACGAAAGTTAAAATCATCAAAATTGTTCCTTAAAATGTTGTGATGCTTGTATTTCAATAAAATTGTTATTTCCAAGCTAGGCCTATTTTGTAAACGGTATATGCCTACTAACTTAACCTCTCATTTACTTGTTACAGAGAACCTGTACAGATACCGTTGTTTAATGGAACTTTTTAAGATCAATAAGTCACGAGTACCAATTTCGTTATACTACTTATTCAACATATCAAATAGGAAAGATAATCTGTTCATTACACCCTCTCCAACTAATCAATTTATTTATAAATCTGCATGGCTGTGGAATGAATTCCGTAAAGTTGGCCCGTTAAATTTCACCTCCACATGCAGATCTATCAAGAATTTACTTAAACAGTCACTTCTAAGAGCTCAAAACCGGTATGGAACTGAGTGGTGTGACAAAAATTTCACTGAATTCTGATTAAGAAGTGATATTTATTTGCCTGTTATTCCCACTGAAGCACTTACTGACTGACAAGCTTATCTATGATTACCATGCTTGAATTTAGGTAAACAACATACAACTCATTTCCAAGTTACGCTGAGCGCAACCGCCGAATGACACAGCAATATGGAAACGCGCGCGCATAGCATTGCGCGCCGATGTTGTGCGCGCGCGTTGTCGGCCGAAACTTGGGAAGTTCCCGCTCTAATATTCAGACGACAGTGATGACTCATTAAGAGCACTAATTTCGACCACTTTCCCGGTCGAACCATACCAAATCAAACTAATTGACCCACGTGTATAGCCAATAACAAACTAAATTACATGTTATACTTTTTTTTTTGAGGAAAAGAATATTCAAACAATATACACATAATATAGCAATGGCCAATTGGCTGACTATAAGGTCATGGCCTGAACTTTAATAGTCAAGTGATGCTAAAGCAGAGCACAAATATGTAATAAGTTAATAGATAAAAATACTGATTCAATGATTAAAATTATAGCTGTGAGTGTCAATAAATTACTGTGTCATAAAAAAAGGAACGATGTACACGTGATCTGAGATACCAATATCTCAATATCAAAAGGATAGTGTCTAGAAACATTCATAGTCCATGGTGGCAGGTATCAAGTTAAACGAAGTTACACTGACTGGCAATGTATACGATTGCCGTCTCCCTCTCTCACCCCTGACCGCTATCAGGGTGCTCCTGAGGATTGAGAATCTAATCCTGGTGCGCATGTAACACATAATAGCCGCATAGTCTTCTCCTCTCTTCTGGGATAGTTTTTCAGCGAGTCTCTTGTGGTATCTTGTGGCTTGTGGACCCCATCCGCCATTTGTTGAGTATATAAGTTACATGTTATACTGATATCAGATGTAGAGTTTATAACATACAAATTCTAAATTTTTGACGGCTGACGATGGTAAGTCGCTACGTTTAACTCAGGACTTTTATAGTCTTAAGTCTTGGAGCTCAAAATGTCTCGTGCTGTGGGCCGTATAAACGGCGCACACCACCGCCCTGCCTTACTGCTTACATTACTTCATGGTTGCAGGGCGGAGCCGGTGCCGTTTGTCTCGGCCTCGAGTGGCGAGTGCTTGCCCATCGAATACACGATTGAAACACTAATTATTTACTGGCATTCTACAGTTTCCAAAACGAAGTACGAAGGTATATTAACTTTGAGCTTTGTTTTGGCAACTGCTTCATCGATGGGCGAGTAGGTATTTGTTGTTTAGCAGTGTTGAATATTGGAGCAATTATATAATGTATATCTCCATCATAATATAGGCTAGTGTAAACATATATAATCAATAATACAAACAAATAGTATTATATTATTGGTAACTCGCTAGATTATAAATGTTATTTAAACACATATGTTTACGTCAATTATTACTAAAATTTATATTCTTTTTGCTTTAATATAATTACATGTCACATAATTGATTAGTTGAATGAAACGTGTGCTACAAATGTCTACGCCTCACGCAGAACTGCGTACCGCTTAGTACTTCATGCTTGAGCGGTACTGCTGTTCACAGAGGCGCGCACTCAATTTAATCACAAATAACGAGCGCGCGGTTTTTGGAATTTCTCCATTAATATTATTCGATCTATTAATTAGATCGCAGGCCTGTACTGCGTGAACGACAGAAATATGTTTTAAATTATTTTGCTTCTGAAATTTTGGCTCTAGTAATTAAGAAATGTGACATGTAATTGTAAGATGACAATCAAATAGATCCTGTGCGCGGCTCCTAAAGCTGACCTACGAATTTCTGAACAATTGAAAATTGTGGCTGTGTGCGCGGCGTACTGTATATGTGTTTGAAATTGAAATTTGAATTTATTTATGAATATAACATTATGTATTGATTGTTTTGTGGTGAATAAAAATTTTTCTTTCCTAAATTTTTCTTTCCTATTTGCTCCTACAAATCCACTGCATACTCTAAATCCCTGCCTTATCCCATACCTAATCCCATGCTAAGACATTAACTAAACCTAAAAGTTAAACCCAACAGTTTTAGTCATGCATAGAAATAACCTTATTGACCTGGTCACATTTTTGCCTTACCTGCACAAGATCAATTGTAATTTTGTAAACAAACTTTGATGGAGTTGTTAATAAACTGATACGACCAGTCCTATCTGCACACTTACCTTTTCTCGAAAACAAATCGTTGTTTTTTTTCCAATGATGATCAGAACAAATTCCTTTTGGGACACATTTCTTTTTGAAACGTTCTCGGTTGATCTTTGAGTTATTCACACAAGAGTTCTTAACATTCTGAGAGGTTATAACTCTCAGGAAGAAAATGTTTACGATGATTCCTTTTTTAAGAGTTTTTGATTATATCGCACTTAATAGTAAACAGGATTCTTCTTTCAGCTAACGTAGTTGAATTAAGAATTTCTAACCTGATGCTGTATGGCTGTGTGCCGTTACCCTCGATTATCTGGGTGAAGCGGCATTGGATGAATAGCTTCCAATTCCAGGATAACTCTCCAACTATTATGAGCAGCAGATAGATTCCTTATTTGTACACAATATTGAGAATGGGGTCCATAATCAATCAATACATTGCTAGAACACTGATACATCTACAGTTGTCCTTGTTAGCTATTTGTCTATGTTACTGAGGGAAGTTGGGACTTGAACTCTAAAGAGAACTACAAACCCTGATGCGGAACCGGGATGTATGGAGGGAATGTTTTGGCATAAATCGGACTTAGTAGTAGTAGATCAGACTTTGTCTAGTAGTAGTAGTAGTAGTATAGTTACGCTTATTGGACAGCTATTCCCTTAAGATGATTTTTGTAATTTTGCTCCTGCTCAAGCTTGATCATACTTCACGTTACTCGTTAGCTGACGTTTGGTATCATTCGACAAGTCAGTGGTAATGATGGATAAATCAGTGAATAATCTTAAGATCAATGGTAGTCATGTTAACATGAAAACAAGGCAATTGCTTGTGACTCACAAACACGTCGCCTTGTAATAGCTCATTTTCAACTGCACATGACTACCATCAATCACTAGGATTAAGATAGATTGTTGCACTTCATTACATTCAGGGGGGGGGGGGGGGGGGCCAACGCCCCAAAAGGCCCCACATATCGAAAATCCGAAAAGGGCCCTAGAAATCGGGGCCTTTTGGGGCCTTTTGGGGCCTTTTGACCCTGACCACTATTTGATAGTGTTTATTAAAATAGATTATTACACTTCATTACAATCACTTTCTTGTTGAAGCACCTTTGCTAGAAGTTAATTCTTGAAGTTTAACTGTTTTCATATAAACTGAGGTTTCTGTAGAAAACTTTTTTACGCAGACACTTTTTTTCTGTAGTCTATCTTCTGGAGGCTACATTGTTGTTTACTTGCTTTTGTCAGAGCCACTTTCTCTTTTTTGGGAGGATTGTACAGCTGTATAGCTCTAAGGCCAATCACAATGAAGCACCCTTCAGTCTTCACCCTCGTTATCTTTCTGACAAAAGGGTATATCTTTAGTGCTTTCTGAGTAAGCATCTGAGTGAGCTTCTTTGAGAGAAATGAAGTTGTTAAGCCTTTCTCTATCTTTGGTGTTGATTCCACACGTCTATGGAAGTGTTCTTTTGGCCCAAGGTTGTGGGTGTAATGTGGATATCTAGTGCAAGTGACAAGTGTATAACCATCATGTCAGAAGGTCTGTTCTGGGTGCAACAGCAGCATTTTAAGCCAACTTTAACCTTTGACAGGATATAATTTCATGGTAGATCTTCCTTCTCAATTTGATCACATATTTTTTATACAGAATTTCCCCAGCTCCTTGCAATCATCATTCATCCTATTTCATTTATTTTCAAACTGCAATCGCAATTATTACTTATACAATGATTAACACCTTAATTGTATTACAAGTTTCTCAAAACATTGAGAGTTCGCCATTTAGAAACTTAATCCAGTTTAAACAGATATATATTTCGGTCTTCATGACTCCTTTCTTGTGATAATTTCTCTGGTTTAAAAATATAATCGTATTATTTTATTTGAAGTCAAAATTCTTAATTATTTTTGTTGTATTTGTGTGATTTTAAAGATGATTTGCCTATTTATTATTTGTTGACAATCTAGATTATACTGTAAACCTGCAGCTTGCTCTCATTGTCTATTCACCGGTATACACATTTTCAACATACCGAGAAGTACATTTTTATACGGAATTTCCAGACTGTAACAAACAATTATCTCAGGATGGTTGGCCAGCACCAGGAGTATGAGGACAGGTAAGGGTTGTTTAGACAATACACATTGACAGTAGCAGAGTGTGAATAAATTATAATCTGTCTGGATATCTACCTTTTATTAAGACAGACAGTCAAATTTTGACACTACCTTATTCTTGAGCAGTATTTCTCGACTTACTGCAATTAATGAATTAGAAGCTAACAAGTAACAACTCGATCCTCCCTTTGCAAAACTCTATTCTCGTTCGTGACTGGGAAATTTCTTAGTTTTGATAAATTAAATACCAATTTATATGTTTGTTCGATTTGCTGCACATTTGTATATTTGCTATTTTGTAAAAGTTTCAAATCAAATCATATATAGTTCTGAGGAATCGGTTTTATTTTTGAAACAAGACATAAAGCAGACAGGACCAGTGTTTGCTAATGATATTAAATAATATTATATGGTGTATACTGTACATTGTGTCTAATTTGCTGTACTAAATGCAATATTTTATGACAAACTCCCCTCAGCGATGCTATAGCATCTGAAGACGAGTATGAGTGCTACAGGGCTGCATTCAATAGTAGTGGTCACCTTTTCTGCCTTGACAGTAAGTACCCATTTGTACCATTATATCCTTTTATTAGTGTTTTTTTTATTTGCATTTTTCATAGGGCATTTGCATTCACAAGGCCATCCCAAATATGATCAATGTATGAATATTACGCTTTATTTTTGTTATCTTTGTTGTAGCTCATTGCCATTTGCCCCCTTGTTAACTGTTCTCCTCCTTTCTTCTCCTTGTTAACTACTGGCCATGCAAAGAAGAAAAGGGAGTTTGCTACCGGAAACACCCTTCTTTAGCTTTAAGTCTAGTGGACCATTATCCGAACAATATGTCATCAGTTTTACAGCACTGCTACTTGCTAGAGCAATTGTTTCAATATTACATTCGGATCTATATAATGCTAGTAAATATGGTTACTACTCCTATATATCATATTACTTGATTGGTATTCGATTTCTGATTATTTCCCTAGGAATATGATTATTATATCTCAATTTGGCTTTAGGTAGGGTGCCCCGCTAAAAGAACTGGATTCTTCCAGGAAGCATCCCGTGCACAGAGCTGGGTCTACATATATATTAAATTATTAACCATTCATTCTGTATGTGCACGAAAATTTATTTCAATTATATGGTAGAGATGTGTGTAATATACTAATAACCTAGTTAACTAATAAAGTCTTTATGTTTTAATACATTCAACACTATACAACAAATAATTTGAGATCATGAATACGATGTTGTCACATTGAAACGTTAATAATTCCTTTCCTGATAAGAGCCTGTTCCTTGTCGCATCAAACGGGATCAATACAAATTTTACCCAAGAAACAGCTTCTTTACTCGTAATAATTTCCATATTCTATAGTCTATGTTATGTGATATGTAGTCTATATAATATAGTTCATATTATATGGTTTGCGAACATTTTCCTGCATGATACTTGATATGAATATTACTTATGGGACACAAGGGCGCATGCGGTATAGTACTTTCCTGAAAGGATTGACACGATAGCGGCTCACATGATACTCACTTTAACTCGAGGCCAGGACCAAACACCGTCCCAAACTTCAATACGTTTAAAGTTAATAGAACTTATTGGCGAAGGGCATCTAGTGAAACTCCACTGTCTGTCTTTCGTAGAGTTGGTGAGAGACGTAAAGTCAGTGTTGAAAGTTTCTCAAAATAACTTACTCAACTTAGGTCCTTATGTTATTTAAGTAAAACATATTCATTTGTTTATTACGAAACATATTTCTGCAAAATAGACAATTTGTTCGCCAACATGATGAAATATCGCCTTTTTACAACTGTCTTATTGAGTTATACATGCCAAAAAATGTATCTGTTACAGATATACATTATCCAAATTATTGTACTATACAAATAAATTGCTTAGGATGATTTAATGTAAGTTACAATAGCTGTACTGTTCTGTTGACATCACGTGACTCACGTGCTTGTTATCTTCCTCTCTGTGTTACACACTTCTACAAACACTTCATTGTTACTGTTTGTTTTATCTTTCTTGTGCTGCTTTTCTGTTATGTTTCAATATAATTATGATATACATTTAATTGGCTTTAATTAGGTTACCCCATCAAAAAACAGGAGCACCCTGAAACACATAAGAAGCACCATTTTTACAATAATATGTAAATTATTGAATATTTATTCGTTTTGCAAAATATTATAATTGAATTGAATACTCGCACGCCGTAATCTGAGTCAGCCGCTCAACTGAATATATAAACTTGGAAGTTACCTCATAGAAGGATATACATGATGTGACAATTTATTGGTCGAATAATAAATATTAATACAATTTTTATAACTTCCCATAAAATTTGATGTTTTTATAACCATTTGGGAGATGCACTAATTCGCTACTCAGTGTGAACTTCGAAGTTACTTTAATTCCAGAGAGTTAAGCAACAAACATGATAGGATGGTTAATTTTAATCTTGTATTAAACCGCATGGAATCTATCCTATGTATAACATCAACTGAGTATGATTACACAACTACAGTTGAATTGTATGAGTCATTCGTTTGTTCCTGCCACGCCTAGGTGCAGCTTTTTCAGAAAGATTCCGTTTGGAACGCAGCTCGAATAGTTAAACAAACCCGGGAAACTCTGCTTTCTTTCTGTTGTATAATGATATTTGGAGATATCTTTTAGAATATCTTTGTTTTAGCCTAAAAGTATAAAACGTTTTTAAGGGACTTGGCTAACCAGCTCTTAAACTACGATTATTGTCATCTTAAAAGAGTGAACTATTAAGCAGCCCTTAGTATTAGTTAATGGCGTTTCTTATCAAGCTATTACCAAAATTATTCTTAACTGCTTTAATTAATAAATGTTCCAGTCAAGTTACTATGTAATTAAATTTGTGCCAAGACTTAATCTCCATTACCGAGCAATCAATTAGCATGAAACCTGAGATTTCCCTATAATTTATTTGAACATTTCCCCTGAAATTACGACCTTTTTGTGTGATACAGTGTAATCGTAGTGTAATCATTTTGTGTAGGATCACTGGCTTAATTACATCATTGTTAGCTTGGCTCGTATCTACAATACATCGTATCTCATGACCATAGTTTAGTCTAGAACCCGGATACGATCCCAAGTTCATATAATAATAAATAAATAAACTATAACATTATGAACTTTGTCATTATTATAATTCGAAAGATTATTTATGTCTGTATGTACGAACTACGACCGCCCACGTGCAAATTAAATGAGAAATAAGAAGTTGCATCGCGTCGTAACCATGGTAACGATGTTGAACGCGCACGTGCACGTGCAAATATTTGCGAGCGACATTTTGATCGGGTTTGTGGTAATTGCGTTGTGTTTGAGTGTCGATTACATTTTAATGGGCTGTATCTTCGGTTGTGATGGAAATATTTTTTGATGCGATAAAAACTGACTACCAAAGAATACTATTAGCTTCCTCCCTGTGACCACGGGCTTTCTAGTTATTTAATAAGTTAGAGAGTCTGGTACGCTTTGAGGTTCACATAATTATATAGCTTTTTTTTTGCAACTATTATATACATTAAAATGGTACTTAATTTATATATTATGCAAAGATCGAACACCAAATATGACCAAAATAGTTATCGATAAAGTTTTATATAGTCACGAACATAAATAAAGTCACGAACGAAACAGGAAATTAATTCACTTATGTTTGTGACATATCCAGGACCAGGGACAAATGGAAATCGCGGCATGTGCGGGATCGCGATTTTCCCCATTTTTTGCGAAAAATGTTATATGTCGCCTGTTTGGCTTGTCGCGGAACCGCAATTTTTGGCCTAAATAATCGCGATTTTCTTTTGTCCCTGCCCAGGATACATAACATGAAGACTTTGTTGTAACTTGTATGAAAAGCATTAATACAGTATGTCCCTGGCCTGACCTTGTTAGTTGTTTTATTTAAGAGCTCGTAACAGTGCCTAAATTTAGACTGCAATCAGTTATATCTCTCGTTTTATTTACAGAGATTTAGTAGGATGCAGACTGTAGCCAGCTCGCATATCTCAACTTCATACATTATAATAATAAATAAATAAACTATAACATTATGAACTTTGTTATTTAATAAGTTAGAGAGTCTGGTACGGTTTGCGGTTCACATAATTATATAAGTTATATATTGTTTTCTATATTCTTTTAGACCTTTACTTAAGTCTAGTTATACATTACTTTATCATATTTTATTGAACTAAGGTGTAGTATTGCCAGATCCCAGTTCAACTTGTAACGGAGTTTTACATTAACAAGAAACGATGTAACAGAGTTGATATATTTCAATGTTGCCATGGGGTGACAAGTCCCCATACATCGTGGTCCGGTTACCGGTAGTTTCATTGCGTCCTAATATAAGTTATATAAGTGACATATTTATTGAAATCAAGTTTGCAGGTTTTTTTTGCAACTACTGTATATAATAAAATTCATACTGTTATAGTTTATTTATTTATTATTATATGAACTTGGGATCGTATCCGGGTTCCAGACTAAACTATGGTCATGAGATACGATTTATTGTAGATCATCAGTCACTATGATTGAAACAATTGTTTGACTTAACGCGTCGTTTCAATTTGTATTAAGCTTTCGGCTTGCCGATTGAGCACTGTCAGCAGACGACGCCATCCACAATTATGTATACATACATATATATAGATATATAATATATAGTCACGAACATAATTAAAGTCGCGAAAAAACAGGGGGTTAATCCACTTATGTATGTCCCTGACCTTGTCAGTTGTTTTATTTTAAGAGCTCGTTACAGTGCCTAAATTTAGACTGCAATCAGTTATATCTCTCGTTTTATTTGTTAAGTAAGCTACGGTGTAGACAGTAGCCAGCTCGCATATCTCATTTCATTGCAATTCCTTGAGGGATACATAACAATCTATGGGTTGAATAACTTAAAATTTACCTAATTTTCCACTGCATTTGAATTTTGATGTTCTTACAATTTGGGAGATGCACTGTATTGGCTCCTGCATCGTTAGATGTTCTGAAGAACAAACTGTCCAAAGTTCTCACAAATTATAAAAGTTCTCACAACAAATTAGATATTATATTTTATTTATATATTTTGCGCCACCGGCCCTCCTGGACCCAGATGGTGCGCTCACACTTAGTTACTTGTTGTGTTTCTCTCTGTCTCGAATCATACGTTTGCGGCTAAGTCACTCCTGCGAGTTGTATTATATATTTTCTGTTACTAGTACAGTTGCTAGTAAAGTTGAAATATTTTCTGTTACAGTAAAAGTATTTGATCTAGACTATATTATATTGACTCCATTTGACAATTGACGCTGTCTCTTGACACGCTAGTGTGTGTCAGCCACCTTTTACACTTGCATACATTTCTAACTTATTGTCTCTGATTTGTAATCAAACACTTTTCCATGATAACAAAAGACCCTGGCCTGATTGCTAACTTCAGGATCAGCGAAATCTGAATACCATGCTTACTACTTAAACCATGAAGTTGATGTTGTTATCTGTGATATTGATAATTACAATTAATTGCTAAGTAATTAAGTATTAAGTAATTACCCTACGCAGGTTCTAATGGGAAGGAAGTGCTGGTGAGTTTAGAGGACGAGAAACCGTCTGAGAAACTTATTGTACCTAATATTGGTGAGTACCTGTTATATACTAATTAATACCTATTGGTAAGTACTTATATAGCTAACTCGAATATTTACCGATAAAGTGCTGTGTAAAATTTGACTTTATTTATATTTATTTATTATTTTATTCATAGCGATAATTATTGGTAAACACCGTTACTAAAGTTCAACATATTTTACTTTATCGTCTCGTCTATAAGTTGACACCTCACTAGTCGCTACTCGCTATATATACCCGGTATATTATACCGTATACCAGACTATTTTACTATTTAATTGAAAAGATAGCGCCAGTACGTGATTTTTACCACCCAAATTCCCCAGGCAAGGACCACAAGAACGTAATGGACGTTAAACCAGGTACTTTAAATTCGAATGTCCAATCTTGTTTTGTTTGCTAAAATTGTACTTAAACCTGATATTAAAAGATAGATCCTGAATAAGACAATGTATGTGATAATAGACGTATAGCTAGTGTTGACAACCAGGTGTGGTTACTTAGTGGTTACTTAGTGTGGGTGTGGTAACTTAGTGTGGGTGTGGTTGCTTAGTGTGGGTGTGGTTGCTTAGTGTGGGTGTGGTAACTTAGTGTGGGTGTGGTTGCTTAGTGTGGGTGTGGTTACTTAGTGTGGGTGTGGTAACTTAGTGTGGTAACTTAGTGTGGTTACTTAGTGTGGTTACTTAGTGTGGTTACTTAGTGTGTGTTACTTATTGTGGGTGTGGTTACTACTTAGTTACAACAAAGCACTCTACCCATTTTACAATTTATTGTATTGCTAGTTTTTATAGCTTTTATCTACTTAAATTATTTCAAATTTTCATAAACTAATCATTAATATTATTTCAGAGACTTGGGACATAGATTACGCTGATATCCAGGTACCACCCAATTTAATGTACTATTTTTCTCAACAGATGCTCTACAATATCATAATTCATATATCAAAGCCTTCTTGCTTTAAGGAGCCTCCATGTCCTCAATAAACTGTCATAATTGTAGTTTTAAAACTTTAAAACTAATGATCTAGTTTTCAGGGACACCTAGAGATAAGCCGGTACTACTGTCCAGTTCAGATGACATGTTACAACTGTAACGAGAACGGGCATGTCAAGTACGATTGTCCTAAACCAAGGGTAAATTCTCTGCACCATTTTCTTTAGTTCAAAGTTGTTGTTCAGAATAGTCTGTACTAAAATAAAAGCACCTCCTGGCGGCCTGAAAGGAGCAAGGCTGCAGCCCGATATCATTAGCGAGATCAAAGGGAGGATTCACAGAGTTCATGAGCCTGCCAAGCAATCTTGACCTTTAAAGGACCAGTTAACTGAAAAATTTGTAGCCTCCAATTTGGCTAAGATTTAAATCAGCTGTGACAAACTGGTAAAGAATCGTATCGCCGAAAGAACCAACTCTCTAGCGTACGTGTAACGCGTGTTATTGCAATAATAAGCTGTGGCCGCGTGACGTCATAAAGTCCCTCAGTGCGCGCTTGCATAGCGTAATACAATGCACAAATGTTTATCATCGTCAATAAAACACGTGTTACTCACTCAAATTTTAGAGTTATGACTATTTTCCTAGTTCTACAAAATCCTTATAGTTTTGGCTATCACCCTAACTATATGAATAGCTGATTGGATGTACAGTGCTCACGTCAGGATTTTAAACAGTGACATAAGTTCTTGAACAGTGGCGGGTGAATGTACGGTTAGAAAGTCTCTGCTATTACAAGTTATGTCATATGTGATAATTTTGGATTGTTTTCATTGCTTCATTACAAACGAAGGGAGACTGTACCGATTATTTTTCCCCAGTACATGAAACTAATACACAAAACAATGTGCTATATATTAAATATAGCTGATAAGAGTGTAACTCTGTAATATAATATTACAGTTGTTCGGAAGAATGCGAGCAGTCGAATGGTTCGCTGTCCTAAAAGACATAGTTCCGAGAGCAATTATATTTTTAGCATAGCGAAATTTCTTACTATACTTTAATCCACACGTGCCAGACAGTACAGGAGACAAGAAGTCTGGCTATTTTACGGCCGTTCCCATGGGACCATTAGTAGAAGTAGCTCCTATCAGAACGGTGCCGTGGGAACCGAAAAATACCCGGTCTACTAAATACTGATTGGACTGTACAGTGTGCGGAGTGTTTTGAATTTGACTTACCTAGTTATCGTCCTACTTGTATGATCATAAAATTAAATACCAAGTGCAAACGTGTTCAGTCAATCGACCCACTGAACAACTATAGAATTTCCAAGACCCTATTATTCTTTGGCCATATATATTACGGCACGATCGATTCTTAGATGGCTAAACGACAAACGTTAATCTATACAATTCTTAAACTATGAGATAGCACTTTAATCTAAAAATACACTTTTTATATTACTCATGATTTTTACATTTCAATTTTCACGTAAAACATTGTAGCCATAGGTTGATCATGGACACTGACAGCTTAATTTTAGATAATAATGATTTATGAGTTTCTCTAAAGTTAACTCTAAACTTGTGTAGTCTAGTCATTTATGGACATTTATGGAATTGAACCTGCACATTTTCGTATACTCCCGAAATTTTGCAAAGACCTTCCCAAAAGTATGAATAAACGATTTTCGGTTGGAGACATATTGACCACGCCGATATTGACCCAATAACGTAACCGACCCTTTGCTTCTGAAGGTCGTGGAGACTTCAAAATAGGCTTAAACGAAGCCGCATATGCAAGTTTATATAGGAGTTATTGAGCAACACATGGCCTAAAATCCTTACTTTTCGAGAAATTCGCCAAAAACCATTTTGGGCGTGGTGCTGAGCCCATTTTCGATAGGATCGTGATAGAGTCTTTAAACAGGGTGCAAAAGAACCGCATTTAGCATATTAATATATGACTTACGAAGAAACAGATGCCTTAAAGTGCTTACTTTTTCAGTTATTGGCGAAAAACTGATTTCCGGTTCCAGAAATCATGCAAAAATATGGGTATCTCGTAAATTGGGCTATGAAGGCCCTACAGATTTTTGAATGGATGCAAATTGTGCAGAATGGCCATGTTTATATACAACTTATGAAGCAACATGTACCCTAAAACACTTACTTTTCGAGTTATTTGGGGGAGAAACATTGTATTATGTCCATTTTTACCTGTAAAATACAGTCTCACGAGCTGCTCTGTGCGCGCAAGGGACTTTATGACGTCATCGCCAAAATAATACAAACGCTAATTACACGCGTTAGAGAGCAGTTAGAGATTTAGGAATTTCGACTCGTTGCTCAGTTTGCTATTTGTCACAATCTGTCAAAATATGAGGATAACTTTTTTTTCAGTTAACTGGTCCTTTAAAACCCCATAGAAGTTCATATTTAATTATTCGAATATATCCCGGACGGTTCCGTTCCCTTGCATTGTTTGTTCACCGAGAAATACAGCATACATCGGCCCTGCAGCCTGTTCTCAATAACTGCCTCTGCTATGCAGTTCTCATGCAGTTTTCATGCAGTTCTCTTGCAGTTGTGGAGATTAGCAGCTATAAGATAAGAACGGCAGCATGGGGAACCTTGTGTACAACAGGTGCCATTAGACGTAAGACGTTGCTGGAACGATATTAGATACTGTTGTTGGCCCTGTCCCAAGTTTTAAGTTTCTCAAATAGCACGCTCTCTCTGTGTAGTATTTACAATGTTCTGGAAGCTCTGTGTTCCACCTTGCGGTAAATTAAGAAGATGGTAAATTAAGGGTTTACCAAGGATTGGGTAGTCTAGATGGTTCCAATTTGAATTAAAGTCATTAAGACCCTAGCTAGACGTCTAAGCAATAGCTTAGAATATGAACGCGAATGTTCCTCGAATGAACTAATTTGTAGATTTGAGGTTCTAGAAGTTAGCCGTATTTTTATAAGTTTTACGGCACGCTTTTTGATTTTTAACTAGAGTTCCAAAATCAACGTTCTTCCTCTGTCGGCAACATGATAAAGCTCTCCAAGCCGGGTTCCCTCTACCTCTCTGCACGATAACATATTTTATCATGCCACCAGTTTGTAATAATTGAGAATAACGTCATTGATGTAATGGAGAGCCGTTTGCAGTTTGTGTCCATGTTGCAGCAGTCATCGTGGTATTCCGAAAATAGTAACTATTCCCATGCCAGTTCCCTTGCTTGCCCTCACTGCCTTTGTTTCTCATTCTTAGTACATGTCTTGATTGTTCTAGCAAACGCTCTGTTTAGTTTTAGTGGAGTTGGCAGCATGCTATTACTAGTAGTTCTAGATAAAAGCTTAAGATTCTATGATTTCATAAAGTCATTTTAGCAAAAATGCCCCACAAATTTTAACGATTTTCTATGTGACCACGCTCTCTTCAGCATTTGCTAAAATTTTGAGCGCGCCGCGCATAAATATTATAATTTATCTTGAGCTTCGTATACAGTATAAAACTTTCGTAATTAGTAGCTTTTTCTTGCTAACAGCTTTCTCTTTCGCTTCAAAACAGTAAACAGTCTGTACCATTCACCACATTGTTTCTAATGTGTACCTTTTCAGAAAGAACACCCATGTTTGAGTTGTGGTATGACTGGACATAATCTGAGAGATTGCTCACACGAACTTTGCTTCAATTGCGGGAACCCCGGCCACAGTAAAAAGGTAAAACTTTAATCTCAAGACAATTTCATCAATTGAAACATATCCCAGAATAGACAATAAGTACCAAACTTTGTTGCCAACAAGCTATTTACATTTCCACTCATGATATTTCATGCTTATCCTAATACGATGCTGTGGTTACTGTCATGCTATTTCAGGGACATTCTCATGCATGCTGTTTACATGCAACATCCACACAAACAGTTGAAACTTAGAAATAATCACCTGATTATAACTAACTCTGACTCTCAGGATTGCTCGAAACCGATGGTTCCCAGATGGAAGAACTGTCCGCGGTGCCACACTCCGGGTCACACAGAGTCCCATTGTCCTGACAGATGGAGACAGTACCACTCCACTACTAGTTATGGTCCTCCTGTGGAACCTGAACCCGCTCCGGTACCGGATAACAGACCTATTTACTGTTATAATTGTGGTCGTGACGGTCACTGGGGATTTGTAAGTCTTACACATTTATATTTTGCTTTAATTGCTCTTAAGATTCCTCTCCTCGTTGGTATAATTTATTTGTTTGGCCTTTGAAAATGACTCGTTTCTTACATCCTGTAACATACCGCGACCGGTACAGTCATACTATTTTATTAAATTATGTTACTTTTGTGTTACCAATTACGGTATCTAAAATTACATATTTTCACTCTACAATGAAACAATTCACTCTTGACAGGAGTGCCAAGAGGAGAGGCCAGACGATGCCTACTACATTGGAACCCAGTTTGTTGTGCGCTACGATGCCTCTGCAAGCTCTCTGGCACCCCGGATGAAACGGAAAGTCAAGGGCAAACAAGCTGACAACAATGATCAGCCAGGCTTCTCTGATTCAGTTGTCAGTGATGGCAGTACGAAGAATGCTGCCAAGAAGAAACGTAATAAGTCTTACTTTCCACGATCTAAATCGCTTGCTTCTGAGTTCCCAGCAAAGGAGAAGACTGAAACATGGAAACGGCGGAGTAAATCTGTCGACGAAACGTCTCATTTTAAGGAGACTAACTTGTCTAAATTCAAATCTCGGTCCCATAAATCATTTGAAAAACTGAGAAATAGTGACGGTGGAAAACAAACAGACTCTCCTCCAAATCAAAAACCTCGAAAGTACAACAAAATCAAGGAGGAACTTGAGCGAATGGGCATTAACAAAAGCAAGAAAAAAATGGAGAATAAAAAAGGCAATCCCAGGTCTCGGACAGAAAATAATGTAGGAAGTGATGGGAAGAGCAGTGGGAACCATGTTTCTTTCAAGGTGGAGAAGAATGGGAAAAGAGGGAGTGGGGAGTATGGTTACAATTGGAATAAACCATCACCCAATTTGAATCATGGTGTTAATGGGGAAAGGACTAAGAGTAAAAACTCTCAAAAAGGGCCCGAAGGAAAATCAAACACTCAGCAGGCTAAGAAAAACAAGAAAAAGAATAAGAAAAATAATGGCTTTCAGAAATCAACGTCTGTGTTTTCCTGAAAATAACCTGCTTTCAAATTTAGAAGAAAATCTTTGCGGTCGCGGTGCTGGTGCATCAGTTTCTACTGAAAATAATGAAGTTCGAAATATTTTGTGTTTTTAAACTTATGTAAATAAAGTTAAGTTTTGTAGTAAATTTTTGCTGTTTATGCATTGCTGCTTTCGATTTCCGTTTTTTGGGTGACAATTTTGATGTTATTCGTATGGGATTTAAATCTGGGTTGCACGAATTTTACAATTGCGTGTAACGAATATAATATATATATTAATGATTATCAGCAACTTTCGACAATGACAGAATGGTATTAGAGTCAATGAAATGAGTTTTTTGGAAATCATTCGTCAGTCACGTTAGTTGACAATATTGTAGATTGTCACACTATCGTTATTTTTAGCTTATATTTAGGGGTTATTAACTTTATTGTACTCGTAGTTCCATGACTCTAGTTTGAAATGATGAAAAAGAGAACATTTCTATATTTAACATGGTAAGAAAACCAAAAGTATTATGCGCATGAAACAATGTTTGCGAGTACTTTGAATTGTTGTTCCGAAAAGTGGTATGGTATACCTAGTATTTTTGTTTATTGTTTGAAATGTGTTAAGAGTTTAAGTCGTTTTTTACTATTTATACTTGTAACCAATGCAAAGATATTTATGTGGTCCGACAGTTTTTAAATTGAACCAGGTTTCATTAAGAACACCACGGTAGTGCAGAGGTTATAATCTCAGAGAAAACCAAAAAAAATGTGGATACTTTTTAGAAGAGTAACGGATTACTCTTCTTGAAATGATTTATATATCGACTCATTGGACTGATAGAATTTAGGCTAACAATAACTTAGAAGACCCTCACGATTATTTATTTAACGATATCACGCGTCCATTAATATTATGACACCATCTAACTTGAATTATTAATTTGAATCGTTAGACTCTGCCTCAGTGGTTCTACATTTAGCATGAATTTGGGTGAAATTTAGTGTGGGCCGAGAATTAATTAGGAATCTGTATGGTTATTAGATTATTTATCAAAAGGTGGTTAATTAAATAATTTGCAAATTGTAGTCACTAAAAGTTTGGAGAGTGACTACATGTATATTGCCTGATCTTTTGGTGGACTTATGTGATTTCAATCAAGCTTTTAATTTATTGCATTTTTATTCCATGTCGTTTTATTCATCTACCGAACATTATTTTGTAACAAATAAATCAATGAAATTAAACCAATGAATAATCTCAGAATTTATGTGAATTCAAAAACCATTTAAGATATATTTATAAATATCACTTTAAAAAATTGATTGAATCAAAAAAAACCCTTTACTTTCATTACCGATTTTCATTCGGTTCTACCGCATGATGGGATGTATAGTCATTAACAGACAACAAGACTGGAATAGTCCAGTTATCAAATACCAGACCTTTAATCTCCTGACTCCAGGATGTTGGGAACCGAGATATCAACACTGGAAAAATGTCCCACAACAATGAGTACTCATGCGTTTACTGCTATGGGGGTGTATTTTCATGTTATCAAGATGAAACAGTCCTTCGTTCTTTGGATAGGTTCGTATCTTCTACTTTTCCAATTTAACTTTAAATCGCAGTTTTTAACTGACTCGATAAACCCACCTACTCTAAGCTCATTTCAACCGATAATCAAACCCCTCCTAAAATGTGTAAATACCGATGTGATCACTGATCAGTGAACCAGTGGTCAGGAGAAAAGTAAACCACAAGTTATTTACCATCTTCCTGTAACAAATAATATATCCGTTTACTTGACAGTCTCCTTCCCCAGGACACGACGAACCTAAAATAGACTCCCTCGCCACAGCGATCTCTCTCCCGTCCCGACCTGCTGCCTGCTCCAAACTAATGGGCAGTGCTGACTGGACGACTACTTTTGCTCAGAAACTAGCGGTGAAGACTAAACACCAGGTGTTTATAATGGCGGACGAGCTGGAGCCGGACGAGGTACCGCTCAGTGAGAAGGTTGTGTTTCAGAAGTTGAGAACTGACCCTCATATATTTCTAACAGAACCTGAGGTCCCATCATGAGAGATTTGGCTGGAGTTAGCTTCTTCAGCGATAGTTCGAATTATCTTCAGCTTTTCAACGATTTGTTCAGAAATTTGACAGCCCTTTCTGATCACCAACCGAGCGATGTATACGTTCTGGAACAGTTATGACAATACAATTTAACTTGCAATTTGTGTAACGATTTAATACGATTAACCTTGAAACTTACCACCAATTAATGTTTTTTGTGATCTTAATTAAAACTGAGTAGCAGATAAACAAATTATTTTTGATAAAAGTTACAGGAGGCTATAAACTGATCTGATTTCCTAATGTAGGATGCTTAGAGCTGTTGCTAAAAGGGCGTCTGTCATGACAGTCAGACATCTTTCTGCTAAGGAAGGTTAGCCAGTTTCTCTCTTTGTCCAGTTTAAAGATGATGATTTCCCTGATCATTCATGTATGTGTAATGTGTATCATATATCAAGAATCACTATCATTAGATAGATTATTTACATATTTTATAACAGTGTGTGTTATCCAGGAGGTTCGTACTACGGAGAACCCGAGTACCCACGAGGTTCCGGGACGGACGATGAGCGGTACTACTTTGCAGACGTGTCCAACAGGGAGAACCCCAAAAGAGTGAAACAACCTGCACCTAAGATCGCACCTCTGCCTAAACCTACTGAGAAGGAAAGATAGATAAGGGGTTGTAAACAGTTTTAAACTGAGAATAGAATCTCTGGACTGAAAAATGTTATTCGTGGATAACTAGACCGTTTCGATTGATATGTATTCAAATGATGGAAATGTGCTCATGATATTGATTAAGGTGATTTGTAAATATAAGTACAACTAGTTGAATTTAGGTATTTTCAAGTTTGTAATTTATTCACCCATGATCTGACTGTTACGTTTTGTACTTTGTACAAATTGCTAGTATCGTTAATGATTCAACTTTACTCACCATGATGCAATAACAACTCTTCTCACTATCCTTAGTTTTACTGTCTGCACCTGGTGATCATTCTCATCTTATCCCGTATTTACAGCTCTCAAATAAATCTCCGGCTAGGTCCATGTATAGATAGTGTGAAGTACAATGGATTTCCAGAACAGAGTAGGGAGCAAGACAGGAGGGGGAGGGGTAGCCTCCTTCTCCGAGTCTAACAGAGACCGGAGAGAGAGACTCAGACAGCTGGCTCTTGAAACTATCGATCTTAACAAGGTACGTGGGAAGGTCTCAGTGGGGATACTCAGTCAACTTACTTAACCGGGTCTATATTTGCAGGGTCTATATTTGTTGCACACTCGGCCCCGGCTATTTTATCATTGGTCGCTCAGGTCGGAAATTTCAGGGCCTGATCGGAACGTGGCAAGTAAACTGGTCAGCTCCAGGTCTGTTGTTTGTTTTCATTTAAATACCTGGGATAAGTATTACCTTGTAAATCAGGGTGTGCACTGTGTCCCCAACCCCAGCAAGTTGTAGGTTAACCCATGGTAGGTAACTGTGTTGCATGCTATCTTGGCACATCAACAGGCAGCTGAATATTAATAACTAAACCTTCCCAGGATCCCTACTTCATGAAGAACCATCTGGGTAGTTACGAGTGTAAACTATGTCTGACTCTTCATAATAACGAGGGATCCTACCTGGCTCATACTCAGGGAAAGAAACATCAGCAGAATCTGTGAGTACATCTGCTGGGATCGTAAATTTGAAAAGATATTGATATTTTGTAATTTTGGGATTTGGGTAATCTTTCAATTTTGAATCAACTTCCAATGTGCCAGTATTAACAGCTAACACCACATTCCAGAGCTCGGAGAGCAGCTAAGGAAGCGTTAGAAAAGGAGCAGAACAACCAGAGCATGTTACCAGCTCCAGCTAAAGCTAGGGTCAAAGTTAAAACCTTCATTAAGATCGGGCGACCAGGTTACAAAGTCACGAAACAAAAGGACACCAAGACTGATCAGCACAGTCTCCTTTTCCAGGTACTTGAGAAATTCGGGTATTTTTAATGATTTGTTTTGAGTTGACTAGATTTTTTTTTTCGGTCAAGTAATGTTGGGAGTTTTCAAAAAAATGGTGTGAAATTGTTTGCAAAACCCTCGCTAAATGCCAGTGCCCAGTATTTTATTTTGACACAACATTTCTGTCATCAAAAACTATTTACAATTATTTTTGTGGCATCTGCCCAACAGATATCCAAATATTATTTTTGAAAGTATTGCTTAATAACAAAATAACATCTAAACCAGTTCCAACTCTCAGATTGATTACCCAGAGATCGTATCGGAAGTGGTCCCCAAACATCGTTTCATGTCCGCGTACGAACAGCGTATTGAACCTCCAGATAAGAAGTGGCAGTATCTCCTTTTCGCTGCTGAACCTTACGAGACTATTGCTTTCAAGGTAAGCCATGTTTTATCTAATAGTGTTGATAGTAATAATCAATGATAATGAGACCGTCATGAAATTTAAAATTCAGGTGTAGATTCCCTTTTATCTACTTGTAGGATGTTATCCTATTCCAGCATCTCAATTTTGTTGTTCTAGCTTTTATCAAAGTGAAATGTTTGCACTTTGTAGTAAGCCAAGTTTCTTTCAGATACCCTCCAGAGAGGTTGACAAGGGAGAGAAGAAAATGTGGACACAGTGGAATCCACAGACAAAACAGTTCTTCCTCCAGTTCTACTTCAAGGAGAACATCAAGGAAGCTAGGTTGGCACTGAAAGCAGAGCAGAACAGATCCAAGTCACGAGGAGGGAAAGCAGACAAACCACCTCCAGGACCTCCAGGGTATGATAGATTATAATTCTTATTTTACTATTTACCTCCAGGACCTCCAGGGTATGATAGATTATAATTCTTATTTTACTATTTACCTCCAGGACCTCCAGGGTATGATAGATTCTAATTCTTATTTTACTATTTACCTCCAGGACCTCCAGGGTATGATAGATTCTAATTCTTATTTTACTATTTACCTCCAGGACCTCCAGGGTATGATAGATTCTAATTCTTATTTTACTATTTACCTCCAGGACCTCCATGCCAGGGTATGATAGATTCTAATTCTTATTTTACTATTTACCTCCAGGGTATGATAGATTCTAATTCTTATTTTACTATTTACCTCCAGGACCTCCAGGGTATGATAGATTCTAATTCTTATTTTACTATTTACCTCCAGGGTATGATAGATTCTAATTCTTATTTTACTATTTACCTCCAGGACCTCCAGGGTATGATAGATTCTAATTCTTATTTTACTATTTACCTCCAGGGTACGATAGATTCTAATTCTTATTTTACTATTTACCTCCAGGACCTCCAGGGTAGGGGGGGGGGGGGGGGGGGGCAACCATATTAAAGTATATTAAAGTATATCCCCGGGTCAAAATCGGAAAAAATCCTACATTTTAATATACTTTAATATACCTACAATTAGAAGATTTATATTCTTCGTTAAGATTTACATGATGAACTATATTTTTCACTCAGATTCGCAAGATAAGCCTGTTTTAGGACTAGTACATGAATTTCCATCCTGATTGGTCAAAAATTGGCTGAGCTATGAGCTTAAAAAATATGCCCATATTTGGGCATACGCTTTTGCCCAAATTCGCTTTTGTCCAAATTTGATAAAATTTCAATATTTTTTAATGAGACTAACTCTATGTGAAAGATATAACTCAGTGTTTGTTGAATATAGTGGATACTAAGTAAAAAGACCTCCATGAACAAAATTGGGAAAATTGCACATAATATCTCGGTTCGGAATACTAGCCAAAATGAATTCATTAAAATTGAAATAACTCCATCAGTTTTCAATATTTTTTCAAGAACTTTTTGGAATCGATTCAGAATTGCATTTCAAGCTTATTTTGGGCAACAATTTTTGATGTAGGCCCCCAAGGAGATAGGGATATATTAAAGTATATTGTAGGTATATTAAAGTATATCCCCGGGTCAAATTCGGGAAAAATCCTACATTTTAATATACTTTAATATGGTTGGCCCCCCCAGGGTATGATAGATTCTAATTCTTATTTTACTATTTACCTCCAGGACCTCCAGGGTATGATAGATTCTAATTCTTATTTTACTATTTACCTCCAGGGTATGATAGATTCTAATTCTTATTTTACTATTTACCTCCAGGACCTCCAGGGTATGATAGATTCTAATTCTTATTTTACTATTTACCTCCAGGGTATGATAGATTCTAATTCTTATTTTACTATTTACCTCCAGGACCTCCAGGGTATGATAGATTCTAATTCTTATTTTACTGTTTACCTCCAGGACCTCCAGGGTATGATAGATTCTAATTCTTATTTTACTATTTACCTCCAGGGTATGATAGATTCTAATTCTTATTTTACTATTTACCTCCAGGACCTCCAGGGTATGATAGATTCTAATTCTTATTTTACTATTTACCTCCAGGGTATGATAGATTCTAATTCTTATTTTACTGTTTACCTCCAGGACCTCCAGGGTATGATAGATTCTAATTCTTATTTTACTATTTACCTCCAGGGTATGATAGATTCTAATTCTTATTTTACTATTTACCTCCAGGACCTCCAGGGTATGATAGATTCTAATTCTTATTTTACTATTTACCTCCAGGGTATGATAGATTCTAATTCTTATTTTACTATTTACCTCCAGGACCTCCAGGGTATGATATATTCTTATTCTTATTTTACTATTTACGTAATTTTATTTCATATTATTCTCTTTTGAATTGAGAAGTTGATTATCCAATTTCTTTGCATACCTCTCAACACGTACACGAAATTGTTGAAAACATAATCTAAATAAACCTTGCTCCCAGGGTGCCACCAGGCATGCCTCCGAGAGGACCACCTCGAGCACCACCACCCGGACCACCAGGTGCACCGCCTCCAGGACCTCCGTCCGGTGGACCTCCTCCTCGACCTCCAGGCTTCCCTGGTCCTCCTATGAACAGACCTCCACCTCCCGGCATGCAAGGTAACTGATTTGTTCCTCCTTAAGAACTGAAATATACTGATCTGGAAAATTTAACGGAGCAGTAACATTTAATATGCAGTAACATATCGAATTGAACATGATATATCTCAGGTATGAGACCCCCCGGTGGTATGCCTCCAGGAGTAAGACCGCCTGGTGTCAGACCCCCACACTTTAGCGGACCAATGCATTCTAACAACCAACCTGGACCACCTGGCCTAACAGCCCCACCAGTCAGGCCTCCTAACATGGGCCCTGGTCCTCCTGGTAACATGGACGTGAACATGGCCCCTCCTGGATGAGACCTAACTTCATGGGCCCTCCTGGTATTAGGGGCCCTCCTCCTGGAATGAGACCTCCAGCTAGCAGCGGACCTCCCGGTATCTCCAACCCTCCAGGGGTTCCTGGTCCTGGTATGTTATAATCTTAGCTAGAATCAATTGAGATTCAAATAACCTACATTCGATTTTAGACTCATATAAAAAATATTCACCGTACCCAAGAGTTAAAAATCAGTCTTCAAAACACCGACTGATACTCCGAATTTCCCAGATAACGAAGATAGTCCAGGAAGTGTCCCTCTGCCCGGGATGCAACGTCAACCTAACCAGATGGCAGAGTTTCCAACTCGTAGAGGTGCTCACCATGACAACCAGGAGTTCAACACCGAGGACTACTAGTTTACAAGTAACTTTTATGGACAGTGTGCTAATATCTTAGTTTTGGAAAGGTCCGTGAATCATGAATGTGATCATAATTCTTACGGTTATGCCAACAAAGTCCAATGTTAATTAACTGTAAGAGCACCCCGTGTCCGACTGGCAGAAACTATATCTAAATAGATTAAAATGATTATCTTATTATTCGTTATCAACAATGAAGCTTTTTATGACTTAAATTGCGGGTCCGATTTTCGATTTGAATCGCTAAATTTTCTTGATCATCCTGGTGTTCATCCGACGAGATGAAATTGTATCTTACTTGTAAGCTGTTTTATGTATTTATATCATATTTTACTCAATTAACATTTTATTTTTTGCCTGAAATTTAACCGTGTATTCTTTAGATCTTGAATCAGATATACGACTATGTCGGGTCGTTTTATCTCAGTGCCGTCAGTGGTGTTCTATTAAATTTAGCTCGTTTTATTGAATAAAATGACCCTACTCCATCTTCTAGTAAGTGAGTATGGTTAACTTCAGGTCAGAGTGGAGGGACCTAGCGGGGTGGGCCCCCTACAACCTCCCCCTCAACACCTCCTCCAACCAGGCCGCTAAACTTTACGACGCTGCCCTGGACCAGCTCGCTTACTACTACAATGACCCTGTGTTAGATGGCGTGGGAGAGACTATGGTGAGGATGCTTGCGGAGGATCCGAGTTTTGTGGCGGGAAACCTGCTGAAACACAGCATGGAGTTGTTTGGGAGTAACAGTGACCCAGCTAGGGTTAGGTTTGATGAGTATTGTGGGACACTAGATATGGCGGGGCTGAATCATTGGGAAACAGAACATATTGCTGCTGTTAGGTGTTTTTACAAAGAGGATCTGATCGGAGCTATGGAGAAATACTCTGCTATTTCCCGTCAATACCCCTACGATCTACACAGCTTTAATTTCGGGTATGTCCTGGGTTTGATAAACGGTAAAACCTCCTACCTCAGAGACGTACCACTTGGCGTGGTAGAACGATACAAACCCCACATGCCCCATTATGGGCTAGTGCATGGTAAACTGTGTTTTGGGCACGCTGAGATGGGTGAGTATGAGGAGGCTAAGCGGTGTGGGGATATCGCTCTGGAGGCATTTCCTCTTGATTCGTGGGCTGTACATGCTATGGCGCACACTTACGAGAATCAGTCGAAACCGAAAGAGGTTGTGAAAATGTTGGATGAGACTTCCAAACATTGGACTCGAGGAGTTTGTTTCAGTCAGCACATTCACTGGCACCAAGCCAATGCCCATACCCAACTGGGTGAGTATGAAGCTGCCCTCACTATCTACGATACGCACGTGGGACACTGTGCTAGGGGAGGCGATGTGTTCCCTCTGTCTGACGCTAGTTCTCTGCTAATGAGGTTAAAGGTAGACGGTCAAAAGACGGGTGGGAGAGAGGAAATACTGGCTGATCTGTGGTCACAACACAACGATGAGTTCACCTCTTTGTTCTACGACGGACACTCCGCTATCGCAGCCGCAATGGTGGGTGACACCTCCAGTCTGGATACCTTACTGGAGAATATGAGGGAGTTTGTAGCGGGAGATAGAAGTGGATGGAACAAGGTTGTAACCTCTACACACGGAGTAGAGCTGGTGGAGGGGATCAGACTGATGAGTGGTGGAGACTACACTGCTGCTACAGATAAACTCCTGCTCTGTGTTCCTGGTGTTATCAAGATGATGCACGGGTCTAAAGCACAGAAGAGCATCTTCTCTATAGTGCTGATGCACTGTGCACTGTTATCAGGGACGACTGAGCACCTGTGCGCGGCGGAGCAGCATATGAAGGAGCTGATGGCATGGAACAAAGTGTCGACTTTGCCGCCGTTACAGCAGAGGCTCTGGGATAAGATTCAGCTGCAGCATTCAAAACATTGAGTTTAAGTCTGGTTATCTGCCTGTTGGGTTATACTCCTGATAAAGGCACTATTGGAATTAGTTCTGTAATCTTGGGTAGAATTTTTCTGATTTGTTGCGTTATTTTTTTATGCATATATAATAAATATATATGCTTTTATGATGAGCATTAGTTTTCATGTAAGGAGTTGAGATTAACTTCTTACAAACTTTAAATTGCTGTAAAATGCTGATTAAAGCTTTTTCACCTATAATATTAAATGTATGATATTTTATTTCGATTGATTTTTAGACTGTTTATTTGATTTTCAATCATATTTATGATTAAATGGAATCCTAATGTTTGCATGCAATATTTTATAAATGAGTAATAGTAGGTTGATTTGCAGAATTAATGTACATACTAACTATTCGTTATTAGTTATTCAATTTTTAAAACTGTTTTTTACTTGTGATCTCCAACAGAGACTACCAAAACTCTTCCCATTCTTGGGAGATTCTTGAACTGCTCTCGTTCGATTAGAAAAATTGCTTTAAGCTTTATTCCCTTTATCACGACTATAATAATTACACATTAGATGCAGTACGCAAATAAGCTAATTTAGTAATATCTTCAGTAGCTAAAATGGCTGAACCTATGGATCTTATGGATGCTCTCCGGGAAACGCTCAAGAACTCTATCATTGTTGATGGTGTTACCAAAGGTATGGTCTGTTTTTGACATTTGCTCGAGATATCGGAAATTTTTGGTATTTATGGGATTATATTGGATTATATATGACAAGACTATAGAAAAATGTATGATTCATATTTTGATCTATATTTTAAATTTTATCAATCGTGAAGCTATTTGTTTTAAGAATTGACTCTATATTAAAGATCAGACTCTGTTATTCATCTGATTTTATAATTTGTCAGGTCTGAGAGAAAGTGTAAAGAAGCTGGACAAGAGAGAAGCACTGTTGTGCGTGCTGGCTGAGAGCACTGATGAGAAGAATATACTGAAACTTGTAGAGGCCCTCTGCAGGGAGCATGGCATCAACCTTATCAAGGTGGCACTGCTTTCATAATCAATTAATTATTACAATCTTTAAATGAATGATTACTAGGCGTTTTTTAATGAATTAAAAATGACAAGATAACCAAATAATGACACATCATGTAAATAAATCATGTAAATAAACAGGTTAAATATATATTTTAATATATATTAAAACAGTTTAAATATATTAAATATCCCCGGTTAAAAAACATCTTAATCACAGATTGACGACGCTAAGAAGTTGGGGGAATGGGTAGGTCTCTGCAAGATCGACAAGGAAGGAAACGCCCGTAAGGTGGTACGTTGCAGCTGTGCTGTTGTCTCAGACTTTGGCCGAGAGTCCATAGCTCTGGAGGTAATCAATGATCACTTCAAACGAGCAGTGACCGCGGAGGTCTAGGATCAGATTTATTTCTTACGGTTTTTAACTTATTTTTTATTTATTCCGAGTTGTTGGGTTTGTTTCATTTGTAGGCATGTGTTCTGTATTACTGGTGTCTATCATGTGATATTATGTCAAATATGTTTTCAATTAGTCTCAATGCGTTTGTAAAATGGAGAAGATTGATTCTTTATTTTTATTTCGAATAACCAGTCAATGATTTTTCTTCCTTGTAGCCATGGCAAACCTTGAAGATAATCTCGGAAAGATAACGCTAGTCGCTACAGGAGACGGCCGCATCATTGTTGGTGAGTTTTCCCCTTTTTATCGGTAAAGATAGCGATTTCAAGTTTTTCAATTTGGAGGGGGTGGATGCAATTGCACTCTTTGTATCGTTAGAGACTTCAGAAATCGGGGGGGGGGGGGGTTCTTGAGTAACTCTGGAGGGGGTTCTTGAGTAACTCTGGAGGGGGTTCTTGAGTAACTCTGGAGGGGTGTTCTTGAGTAACTCTGGAGGGGGTTCTTGAGTAACTCTGGAGGGGTGTTCTTGAGTAACTCTGGAGGGGGGTTCTTGAGTAACTCTGGAGGGGGGGTTCATGAGTCACTCTGGAGGGGGGTTCTTAAATAACTCTGGAGGGGGGTTCTTGAGTAACTCTGGAGGGGGTTCTTGAGTAACCCTCTGCTTATCTGGTGTAAAGGTCTTCAAGTCCACCTCATACTGAGATTCAGCAGCTGTATTAGAGAAGAAATTTGAATCAGAAGGAGCACTTCTTACACCGGTGAATAGTCCCAGAACCCACGCCCTTAGGCGCTTCATCCTCCAACAATATAGCAAAGGGTTAAGGGCCGCATTGAGAACAGGGCAGAATATCTCGGCGATTGACCAACTGTAGAAGAACATAAACGTGCTCGAGTAAACGTCTCCCGGATATTCGTGATTGAATATGTAGGTTAGAGTGTACAGAAAATTGTTTACGAAAGTGAACATATTGCAAAAGAGGAATGTAGCTGCAAAAAGCATGATTGTCATAGAAGCTCTAGCCCTACGGTTGTCTCTTACAGTTTGGCGGTTGTTCTTTGCAGTAGCAGTATTCTCCCCACCCATGGCTGCCGTTCTAAGTCTGTTGACTGACACCAACAAAGATAGAAACACTACGATAGGGGGCATCCCTACACAAATACAGTAGAGAACATGATATAAAGCCTGTATCTGTTGAATTGCTTTTAGATCCTTCACAAAGATAGGCTTGTAATCACCATCGGACGTTCGTGTGCAATGTCCAACCCCAAAACTGTAATAGTTGTAGCTTGTCAAGAAGTAAAGAACGGTCAAAATAGCCTGGAAGATAAAATAGACAGGGATTGAAGTGAGAATCACATTTTTTCTGAGTCTGTAAAAGGGGAAGATGATGAGGATGGTACGAGACAAAGACATGAGCATCACCACATACATGGACATGAGTTGAACTGAAAGGAGGAGGAAATACCACAAGGAGCAGAAAACATCACTATCCATAGCCCCAGGTTTTCGTTTGTTGAACAGGTTTACAGCAACTGGAAGTTGGATGACACTGGATAGTGTATCGATAGAACAAGCCACTAAGAACAGCAAAGTTGATAGATTCCGTTTTTTTGTCAGAGAGAAATATTTTAAGGCCAGACAATTTCCTGGAAGCCCAATCATAAAACAAGAACAGTAACCCACAGCCAGCAAGCAGTCATACACTCGGTACTGAGTTTCGAGCACGAGGTCCACATTTGGAGTTAGGGGTCCGGATCCTGGTGTCGATGTCATCTAAAGCTGAGCAAAGTTCGCAGTTAGAACAAAATTAGTCAAGTGCAGTGTGGCAACTGGCACATTTAGTTTGGAAGGTAGCTGAACCACCTGTGGAAGGTAGCTGAACCACCTGCACTGTGAAAAAGATAACGATAAATGTTTCTCTAGACATTTATAATGCAATTAATAAATAATAGGTCCTGAGGATTACCAACATTTTTTTACTTAACCTAAATCTTGTTTTGCAAAACTCTTTCTCTCGAGCCATGCGATGCACCCGAATTTTGTGCAAAATTACCAAGATGATAACAATATGACCAATCAGCAGCAAAAAACGTACTTACGAAATTCATTCAGGCATGAGAAAAATTTTGGACAGCCCAATACAAATATCATTACAGAAATTGCAAGATTTTAAAGATAACGAGGATTGCTTGAGTAGCGGTAATAATAACGACCAAGTTAAATGCTTCCCGAAAGCCATTACGGCAGACACTTAACCATAATGACATAATGCTACAGATCTGAACAAAGCCCACATCGCATTCCATGCTCGCCGGAGTATATTTCCTGGTTTTTTGTGGCCGTGTAATTTTTGATATCTATTCGAAACTAAAGATAACGGTTAGAGAGCAAGGCTAGAACTTCTCTCCAATACAATGCGTAAACTAACTGAACTAACTTGTAAACTTGTGTTAGGGGTTGTTCACATATTACGTAATCAGCCGAGGGGAGGGGGGTTTACAAATGATTACGCTACTGTAATTTGGACACAATAGCTATGTGTAAAACTGATTACGGAGGGGGGCGGGGGGGGGGGGTAAAAATTGTCCAAAAGTTGATTATGTAATATGTGAACGACCCCTTATTAGAGACTTCAGCCTCACATAAATATTAAATATTCTGTGAATATTTAATATTTCTGTGAGGCTGACGTCTTATTAACAAAAGTTATTAACAAATGCAAAAGTTGTTTAAGTTAATTTGATGCAGTGGAGATACAATCGACTGACTGATGCATTTATAGTTCGGTATTGTAAATTTTCTCACTGTGTGTTCACTTTACAAGATGAAGATCTGGGCCATGCTTATACCTGCGATGCAGTTAGCATCAATAGTTTTTGGAAGGTCATTGGAGGAACAAGCTCGTCCTATTGGAAAAATGGAAGATAGCGAAGAACAAGCTCGTCCTATTGGTGTGGAAAATAGCGAAGAACAAGCTCGTCCTATTGGTGTGGAAGATAGCGAAGAACAAGCTCGTCCTATTGGTGTGGAAAATAGCGAAGAACAAGCTCGTCCTATTGGTGTGGAAAATAGCGAAGAACAAGCTCGTCCTATTGGTTTGGAAGATAGCGAAGAACAAGCTCGTCCTATTGGTTTGGAAGATAGCGAAGAACAAGCTCGTCCTATTGGTTTGGAAGATAGCGAAGAACAAGCTCGTCCTATTGGTTTGGAAGATAGCGAAGAACAGCCGCTCAACAGCCGTTTCGGAGACAGTGAAGAACAATCTTTAAACACATAATAATATCTAGTAAATTATAATGATTCACTACTAAGTTCAATTAGTAAAAAGTGTTAAATGTGTTTTAGTCGCAGCTTAGGTAGACTATAGGTAAACTATAGGTAAACTATAGGTAAACTATAGGTAAAAATACAATATTAATCATAAGCTAAAATGTACTAATCTTTGTATTCTAAATGGGGAAAAGAAGAAACATTGTCAGTCAGTCGAGAAAATTGTCAGTCAGGCTATATGGCAGCTTTGTAGATGTTGTGACTATGCTAGTAGTGGTCCCAGGCTTGCGACTGGAATTGCGGCGTTAAATCGATTTAATGGTATACCAATGATCCACCTCCCACTTGTTGTTTGGTACTTAGCATTAATAGTGTTAGCTGTAGCCATTTATAGCAAGAATCTTAAAACTAAAGGGGATGACAAGGAAAAGAGGAAGGAAAAAGAATAACGGAACAAACAATTAATTAAAGAATTTAAGAAATTAATTTAAGAAATTAATACTGAAATGCTCGAATGGAATCAAGGGGGCAATATCATAATTCATAAAATCTCCCTCTAAATAGCAACATTGCTCGGAAACAAGTCTGCGACTCTGCTTTACATTATGTCTAGGTTATCGCTAGCTGTTCATGGTCATGGTACCAGTAGCCATAACAAATGAAACGTCAGCGATCCTTAACAATTCCTTTGTCTATTATTGAACTGATCCCTGGTATGGCCCTTTTTATCGCCTCATAATTTTTGTTTGTCCAGATAATTTCCGTATCAGATGTATCTCGTACCCAACTAATCCTACTACCTCAGACCTTATTATATACAGACCTTATACTGTTATTATCAACACTTTTTGGTACTAGACAAATTGTTGGTTGTTAACAATAAAACCATTATATCATGACGAGTAGGGCGACTAATCCTCTAGTAGTTTACTCCAAATAATGGGTTATGGGTACCGTTATTGTTATTCTACTAGGAGTACACGGTACACCGCCACTAACGTGTTACCAACGAGTATACCTTTGCTATGGGGCTGCATTCTATACTTCCTATTATCTAAATATGCGAAGTTACACATTAGTGTGTAACTTTATAATGGAGTGACGGAGTCCTTTACAAAGGTCGCATATTGCATACCCCTCCCGGTCCCCAACCCAAACCCCTCCCGGTCCCCCACCCCTCCCGGTCTTCCACCCCTCCCGGTCACCCACCCCTCCCGGTCCCCAACCCCTCCGATCCCGGTTCCTAACCCAAACCCCTCCCGGTCCCCCTCCCCCTGTTATCTCTCAACATCACCTCAGGAACACTGAAAGGGTTTGATCAGACTGTGAACCTAGTGTTGGAGGACGCACATGAGAGGATCTTCTCTCACACCCAGGGGGTAGAACAGGTTCCACTGGGACTCTACCTCATCAGGGGAGACAATGTGTGAGTGCAATATATTATGTTGCTGTTTATCTTAAATTTTGCACTTCTCTAAAATACTTATGTTTTCAGTTTCGAATCGTTTTATTCGTTAAATATTATTTGGAACAACCATGTTACCTTGCCTGAGCCAGCATATTTTCTGGATTTATCACTTATTATCTTCTTCTTTCTGAGTGTTAACAGCTGATTAATCCACAGTGCCTGTGTCGGTGAAATAGATCAAGATATAGACGGGAACTTAGGACTAGGAGGAATCCGAGCCGAACCTCTACAACCTATCGTTCACTGACATTACCACATCAAGGTAATATAACATTGTCATTAAAATAACTAGATTTAGAATGCCAGCAAAAT